TAAATAATTTATGTTCCATTTCAATTTCACCAATTGATTATATTTAACCATGAGCTTTGTCCAAGTTTTATTTTTATTTTTCATCATGATGACGAACAAGTATTAGATAATGACATGGCCTAACCACACAAAAGAATGAAATAAGAAATAAATAATGAAAGAGCAAGCAATCGGCCCTGAACTTGACTTGAGTTGGTCTTTAGGAAAAGCGAGTCAATGGTCTGGTCTCTCTTTGGTATACCACAAAAATAAATGCTTAGTGGCTAAAAGCATTGTGGGTATTATTTATTTTTGTATATACATATATATACATATGTATATATCTTTTCGCTATTATATTTTATCAGTTCTTTTCGCATTTTGTTGCTGCCGTTTGGGGCCAATGAACGTAAAGCTTGCAAATCAGCAAAAAGAAAAAAGAAATGAAAATGAGGAACAAAAAATTGTTTATACAAGCTAGCAAATTGCTAAATGCTTTTTCTATCACATGCAGAGTGCATGTGAGTGTTCAGTGTTGAGGGATATGGCTCATAAAAGATCTGGTTAGTATAATATAAAATCAAGTTTAATCAACTGGAACAATTTCATGTTCAAAATCAATTTTAAATTTATATTATATTTATTTGAATTTTCTATACAAGAGTAAAGAAAGTAATTAAAATCAAAAGCAGATCAACATATTTCTTAAGTAATAATACATTTGACTTATACTATATCTAGTTTCAATTTTGTATATTTATTTATATACAAAGGTTCTACTATCTTATATCTTTATCTTTCTTTGACTCCTCCACAAAAGTAATTTAAATTCCAGCCTTTATCAAAGGCTTCTTGGAACTTTATGAAAAGCTAATACTTTTGTTTGAACAACCCATCAAATTAGTGGGAATTATTAATTTGGCTCACCACCCCTCCTTTTTCGATGGGAAATTCTAGGAAATTGGAAAATTTTTGGGGGTGCGCTTCTTCACCTATACAGGCCAAAAAGGAAAATGAAAATATAGACATATATAATACGCATACACACATGAGAGAGAGTGAAGAAATTTTGGCATTGTTATTCAGACCACTTCCCAGACCTAGTTCCCAGTTCCTCCCCCCTCTTGATACGAGGTGCCTCGTCTGGCGGCGCCCCTTGTGCCAATTTCCATTTGATAAACATAAACAAATCGATACGCGTCACAACAACGTCTCTGATGGAGACATGTGGGGGGTGTTGGGCAGGGATGGAGACCTGGAAGGACTGCTCTCTGCATCAGTATATATAAAGAGACTAACAAGCTTTGTGTACACATTTGCCGGCTGGGCTCCCCCTTTTTCCAAAGAGGGTGGGTTTTTCACGGAGGCGAAAGCGCCATGCTGGAAAATTACGACGCAGAAATCAAGTTAAGAAGGATTAATCCTTAAACAAACGATGGTCAGTTTGGCCACTGTCTGAAAGTAAATCCTATGTAGGAGTAGGGTATAGGGTATCCAGGGAAAGAGTATACTGTTTTTGAATGAATCAATGAGATCTTAAAAGATTGCTCAATTATCTATTAACTAGGATACAGGGTCGTTTAATATATATTACCTTAAAAATGTAATTGCTTTCCTTTAGACACCTTATCAATCAATTTCTGATTATAATTTCTATGCTCACCCTTAGTAATCGAACTGAATTTCCCCCAAAAAAGTAGGCAAAGCTTTTTTCGCACTCAATGCCGGGTACTTTATGGTCGGGGATCCTTGCTTCCTTACAAAATCCTCTCTTTTTTCCACCCATTTGGGACTGTCCTTGAAAGTCTGCGGTTGGCATTTTGTTGTGCTTCTGCTCATTCATAACAAGGAGCAACATCAAAAGAGCTGAGAGGATGAGGGTGGAAAATATATTTTGGCCAGGAAGCTTATGTGGCTTAAACCCCAAAGCTCTTGTGCTTCGGGCGTTGCCAGATGGCTACTAAATGAGAAACACTTGTGCCGAAATTAATTAATTAGGAAATATTTAGGCCTTAGCACATCTCGCCAAAAAAGAAAGGGTGAGCGCCGAATTAGGAAAATGCTAGGCAAAAATGGGAAATTCGCGCCTCCGCATAATGAAAATGTCTTGAGGGGAAACGCCCACCAAAAAGCGATGGCAGAGCGAGGACAACGCCCACAAAAAACAAAAGGAAAAACACGACCACATTTATTCAAGGTCTTTTCACAAGCTTTGGACTGCCTTGAACTTCTGCGAAGGGAAAACGAAAGTGAAAGCCCCCCTTCCAAGAAGGAAGGAAGGGTGGTGGCTTTGATCCCATGAAACCCGAGTCGGAGCGCCCACGCATACCCTTAGGTACATACGCATCTATATAAATATATACATATGTATATAGAATGTATCTAAACACGGGTTTGTTATGTAGGCGGTGTCGGGCATTGGGAATATATTTTGTAAATACTTGAAATACCGGCGCCCACGTCCTTGAAAATCATTTAACATGCTTCCCCCAGGAAGATACACAGTTGAGGTCAGAATAATAAGGCGACCAAAAAAGGGAAGGATAGTTTTAAAGGATTGTCGTTTTATAGATATGAAAATGATTATAAAAGTGTCAGTTTTAATTGAATTAAAAGAATTAAAGGGTTTATAAAGATAGCTATATTAAATTCTAGTCTGTGTATTATCCCTTGTATCCCTGTATCCCTTGAAATCTAAAATCCTGGCTTTTTGCTTCTAATTTAAGATACTTAATAATTATATGTGCATTTCTCATGATTTAATGTTGACCACTGTTGTGTAAATCTACAACGTAGTGTTTTGCTGTCCGTGGGTGTTGCGTGTGAGGGATCTGGCTGTTGTCCTTGTTGCTCCCTATGTATCCTTGGCGTCGTCCCTCTTTGCGCCACTCGTGGCGCAATTTCGCATTCAAGGACATGGTCGTGATTTGCTGCCACAGCAGCACCAGCAGCAGCAAAACAACAGAGAACTCCGTGCGTCAGTCGGTTATTTTCCCCTCCAAAGAGTATTATGTAGGTGTCCTGTCCATTAGGTGTCGGTACGACTTAATTCCATTGAACAGCAGCACCAGGACTCTGAATTGGCAGGACCTTTCCTGTTGCCCGGCAATCTCAATTGAGTGCTCTCAATTGCAGCCTTCGTTTTTCGAGGCAATTTTTATGAGATCTTGAAAATAATGATGATGATTTGTGCGAATCCTTGAATGTTTCCCACATACATATGAGGCAATGCTTTTGTGGTAATCCAATTTGCTAAATGAATTTTGACTGGTTTCTTGATTGTGGCCTTAAATAAATACATCATGGTGAAGTGATTGAAATATTAGTTTGATTACAGCTCTTTTCTTTTGTTAATACTATAGATTTCAAGTTTTGTAACACGTTTGTTGAATAAGAGAGAATGGTACATACATGTACATATACTAATTTTAATATTTAGTTCACTATTTCGTAAAATCATCTGGTCTGAATTACATTTTAACTATCTATAGAAGTTATAATTTCTTTATCCATATATTCCTTATTCAGTATACTATAAAATGTAGAAAAGGCACTTAAGAATATTCTGGTAAATAAACACCGAATAAATTATAGATTTTTCTTACAAAAACTTGAGAAATAAATATTGAAATTAACAGAATAAGCTGAATAACGCCTCATTTTCCAGTGTTTGGTATTTTCCCGGTATTATTTTTTTTTTTTGCCAACTAAGCTCCAACTCTATAAGGGATTGGATTGCACTCGATAACTGACATGTTGCATCAGCCGAATATATCCATTCGAGAACGAATCGATTCGTGGAATGTGGGAATAGCAAGAGATATATTATATTGAAATCATATTGATACGCGATTCAGAAGTTGAATTGATAAATATTGGGTTGTTTGTGCACTCGGCTCCTCCTGATTGTTGTTGTTATAAACAAACTAATCAAAATCGGAGGGGGAAAAAAGTGCAATGTCAGCAGAGAATAAATACAAAAAATATATAGCGCTCGTTTCCCTTTTATTTCTTTGTGCAATTCTTCTTCTTCTTTAATTCTTCAATTCGCAAGAATAAGATCCTTTATAGTATATTTGTAGTTTTTTGCAATTGATGTAAACAAGTTTATTTATACACTGGCGAAAAATAAAATAAAATCAAAGCGCCAGACAAATTTCATAACAAAAATTTGCATAAAAAAACAGCAAGCGAAAGCCAAAACAACAACAACAAGAATAAGAACAAGAATAGCGAATGAGCAAGAAAGAGGAAAACAAGCCGAAGTAAACAACAAAAGTGACGTCAAAACGGCTAGTGTGATAGAAAGAGAGAAAGAAAGCTTTGTAAATGAATTTATTTAATAATCAAACGCAAAGAGCAGAAGAATAATAAAAACCAAGACAACAACACCGAAACAGACTGTACTCGAGCTTTATGTCCGCTCTATCTCCCTCTATCTTTCGTTCTTTGGAAAAGTGGAATTGAAAGAAGCAACAGTGTTTGCCTGTGTGTGGGTGTGAGTGTGCTTGGGGCATGCGCACACGCGGTTCTTTCTCACTCTCTCTCTCTCGCTCTGTGGACAGCTGTACAATCAAAACAAAAGCAATTGGGGAGCTTTTGGCGCTCTGGTTTCTGGTTTTCGGCTTTGTCGCCGAGCTTTGTATACTTTTTATCAATCGGTCAAGAACGTTTCACGAGCAAACACGCGAACAAGAACAGCCAAGAACTCCAACCAGAGCTCCAGAGTGTTGGTGAAAGCGCACACTCACACATAAAAACAAGAACACACAGATACACGGTGTGATAATCAAAATAAAAAGAGGAGAACGAAAACAATTAAAGTGTACAAAAGCAAAGCAGAAGCGTGTGCAAATTGAAATGAAACCGAAAAATCATATTAATAGTTGGTTCGTCATAACCAGTCGCTGAAATCTATTGCCGCATTTATTGAACTAGTTTCCGAGGTAACCGAAAAATAATTTGCTTAAATAAATAAACGCTGCGTTTGGAATTTGTCTACAAAATAATATATAAAAATATACAAACATACATACATACATATACGCATATATAAATCGGTGTGTCTGTGTGCGTATATAGATTCTTATTAGAACCCCCACCACTCTCCACAACAAACGCAGAGAGAGGGAGAGACTGAGAGTTGAAGAGGGACGGCAACAGCCGAAAGCCCCAAAAGCTGCGCTCTCGCTCTCTGGCATCGATCAGTTGTTCGCTTGGCGCTCAGCTGCTCGGTCCAACTTTGGAAATAAACCGCAAAATTGACAACAAACAAAACTGAAAGAAACAGAGAAAAAAAGTAACGCGAATGAACAGATAAAAGGCATCGAGAGAATCAGAATTTGTTGTAAATTTTTGCCATTAATTAACAAACGAGTTCCACGAAAATACATTGAGTGCCAAACGCAGTTCGGAATAATACATATAAATAAATCAAATCGACATTGTCGCCGCTGATAAGATTCTTACTTGTGCGCGCTTATCAAAATCCATACAAAGTTTGTGTTTAGTTTGGTGTGCTTCGGATGATATGTATTTTCTGTGCTTCATTATAAATAAATTTCCGTCTTAATCGCCACATGTGTGACCCAGTTTAAAAAAAACACACTCGACCACACATAAAATAACAATGAAATTTACATATAAACACGGCCCTCTCATGCATAATAATTAATAACAAACGAAAGGAGGCGCAGAAAAGCGAGAGGGGAAAACTTCAACAAAAATACAATATCAATTAATTCGTAAACACCGCGCCGAGGAAAATGTGTGTTTAAGCATTTTGTGCATTTAATTTAAAACCTTCAAGGAAGTAATACAAAACGTTTTTACAACAATCCCCACCACACACAGCATCCCTGGCTTGTTTATATACAATTAAACAAATAATCTGAAAAGGTGCGTACAAAAGTATTAAAAATGTTTAAAGATTAACCAAACGACCAAAAAAAAGTAAAGAAATCAGAAAAGAAATACAGAATGGAAAAGCTTAAACATTAAGAATTATGGGCTATCAAAAAGATTCCTTATTTTCATGAGAATAATGAGTTTGGGGAAAATCTCCAACAAAATATGAAAGAAAAGATACACAAATTGTATATACCCTTACAGTTGGCAAATCAGTTTCAATTATTAACATTCTATTTATCTAAATTTATCAATATTCTTCTATGAAAATACTCTCGTCAAATCAAAGTTTAAAAATCTCATAGCTAAGCCAAAAAAAGCATTAATATTAATTTGGAGAGGAGTATTATGTTAGTTTTTCTATGGTTAAAAAATATGCATACTCAATTTAAAATTAAAAAAAAAAGAAATAAATTATTGATAATTTTTGGAAATTCTTACGATGTAAACCCTTATAAAATTTTGAAAATTTGTTTTCATACCAAACATGACTAGATTAACTCGGCTGTTGATGCTGATCAAGAATATATATGATATATACGGTCCTTCGTAGCGTAACAAGCTATTAACTTAAATAATAATACCCTGAAAGGGTATGTTTATTATAAATAATGATAGATGAGGAAGGAATAATTTTATCTTAAAAATTTAAACAAATTAATGAAAGAATGACGTACAATCTTAGTTATTCTCAGAACAATTAAATAAGATCATTAAGAAAATTCTAAATATATTTTCACGAAGAATGTATAAATAGGTTAAAGGTTTAAATCCCATGTTTTTTTCAACGAATTTGTGTGATTCTGTGTAGATACAACAATAAATCTTTATAGTTCATAACTTTCTTATGCAGGAATTACAAATTGTAAGTTGCTCTTACTTCAACTCCAGCTCCCTAAGCCGACATATTTGTAATTTATGATCCCAGAGACCAATTAAAACATTAACTCAAGCCAGAAGAGGGTCTCCAAAAGCAGAAGATTCCCCCCCCCCCCAAAACAGAAACCGAAACTGAAAACTAACAAAAAACTCAAAATCTAGGCTGCCCTTTTGAAATGTGAGACCCAACAGAAAAAAAGAAACTAAACCTAAACCGAATCAAACAAAACAAAAGCAAAAAAAAAGAGCAGAGGCTAGCACATAAACCTATAAACATTCCAAGTTTTATTTATGTATCGAGCACACTGAATAGGCGGCTATTAAAGCCGCGGCTCAAGTTAAGCGTTTCCTGTCGCGTCGACAGAATTATTTGGGAATCCACCGAGCTGCCTTTTGCTGCTCCTCAAGAGGCCAGCACTTTTTGTAAATTAAATATAATTCGAGAAAAAGGAACACTTAATTTTTTTTTTGTTTGTTGAGTACATTCTCGGTTCTCCCTATTTTTTCACCATTTGTGCAAATAATCAAAGGCAAACGCACACACAAATGCTCAAATGAAACAAAAGAAAATCAACAAAAAATTGACTGTGTATGGCAACAAAAATTAAATTGAAATTGATTTCAATTTGAATTTTGTTCGTGCGGTTTGAGTTCAGTGTCAGTGCGAAAATTCAAGGTTGAAAAGTGTTGACTTTGCACAAGAAATACCCAACAAAAAAATATAAAACAAATGCAAAGCCAACCGACACGTGAGTAGCAGCAACAAAAGAGCACAAAAGCCTAAAAAAGCAGCCATATGTTGGGCAAACACCAATAGAGAAACACAGTCCCAATCCCAATCCAATCCACTTACCCCTCATCCCAGTTTGGAAGCCAGTTTTAAGTCAAACATAATCGTACATACGCCTCGTTTGCCTTTCTAGGCGCCACAAAATTACGTATACGCAACGTAGCCCGGCCCAGCTGCCACAGCCTCAGTTGATTTTAAATGCTCAAAGTTTTGGTTTAGGCCATCTTTAAATGGGCGATGGCTAAAAGCAGCTGTGACTCAACTGCTGAGCGCACGATAAGAGCTGTAAAAGTTCATCAGAAAAAACCCCAAAAATAAATATAAAAATATTAATTAGGCCAGTGATTAGACTGCTGATATAGCAAGTATTTATAAACACAGGAATATAAATTAAAATCATTTGATTGATGTCAACAAAAAAGAAAAGGAAAATAAATCTGGAAACCTTGAACAAATTTCCCACAAGAATTTAATTAACCAAATGACTCAAAGTATTCATAGGTTTTACCATCTAAAATCAGAAATTATTTCATCATTCCAGATATAAAACAATTTCTCAATCGTTTCTTTTAATATTAATAATCATAAAGTTGACTTTGCTGACATGTTGTTATCATAACTGGTTATATAGTCACATTGCCTGTATTAATTATATTATTTACACATTACAGATGTCTCAATTCATTTACAAGTTGTCGAAAAAAAATATATATGGGAATAGTGCCAACCACTATTGTGGATGATCTATCCAACTGAGAATATTGCATCATAATTTTGTTGCCTGAACTTTTATTGATTTGTTTATTTTCCAAATCAATTTGTTGAAAAACCGATTTAAAACATATTATAATTTTGTTGAAATTGCTGACTATATAGTCTATATACGGTCATTTGCTTTTGCTGGCCTTCAACTTTCTTTGTTGCCGCCAGGGTGGAGATTTTTGTGATCTTTTCAGAGGCTGTTCTACGGATGCGGCCATTAAGCAAACTTGTTTGCTTTTCTTTGAAATTTCTTAAGGCAGAAATATTTAAAAAATATATACATATTTATATCAAGAGTGGTGGGGCGACTGTCTCTTGATTTTTTAAGTGCCGCTGACTCATTAATATATTGTTTTGTATTTATTTTGGATTTATAAACAAACACGCTGAAATCCCTTTCTTTTTTTTTGGTTCAGTTTTTCTAGGAGAGAGGACAGTTTTGCTTTTTTGCGATAGTGAACAAAATAAATTCTTTGTGAGGGGCGTAGAGTACTTCCTGAACCCGAAATTCAGTTTTATTTTGCCATCAGTTGTTGGTTTATCTCTTCTCGCCCGGCTGCGCTCGATAAGATAAGTTCCTCCATCCAGTTGGGGGACAGCTCTAAAAAATTTGCAAGTGCCTGACCCATTGAGCGCACCCCTTATCAGCGTCAGTGCCCATTGTCGTCGCCGTCGCGGTTGCTGCCGGCACGCGGCTGTTGGCTGATAAGAGGCGGAGTCCATAGCGGGAAAGCAGCAGCAGCAGCTGACGGACCAGACGCCTCCGGACTCCGGAGGGTCTCCGCCGCTCGATAAGGAGGCGCGAGAACGGGTCTAACATCGGCTCACGTGTTGCTGCCTACTCCCAGAGTCGTGTCATTGATCGGTGGGAGCTGTTTCCTCAATACCCTTTTGAAGTGCATGCATTTCTATTTGTGTCTAGTCTACAGTCGTAGCACTCTTAAAAGCCGACTTAAATACATTTCTACAGTCACGATTTCTATTCAGCTAAAGTGAGACTCCCCTGGGCCGGGGGCAGTATCATCTTCTGTTTGCTTTAGTATTCAGACGACTTGTGCTAATTTCTTTGTGTGCTGCTAAATCGATATAAATTGATTTTAATTATTTATCTATTAGCGAATCGGTGGGGAGGCGAACATGTTATACTCGGCTTGATTGGTTTGCTTCACAGGGATTCCAGTAGAGGTAATTTTTGATACTTTCTTTGCAGTTTATCAAGTCTTTGGCCTTAAACACGGATACAAGTGTGCTAAATCAATCATCACTGTAGTTATCTCTGAGTTTTAAGAGCTACAATCATTTAATATATTTTATTATATTTTAAAAATCTATAACTAATTCAAAAAGCTTTTAATTAGCAATTAGTTTAAATAGTTCAAGGCTTGAAAGGATTTACTTTTGTCTTTCTCACCGTTTTTCGTTCTAGAATGTGTAGATTCTTAAATTTAGAGCCTTTCTATTATTTTCTCAATTGAAAGCCTTCCTCTGCGATTCTCAAAGTGTATAGCTAAGCTTATGAAATTTTGTTGAAAATGTAAAATTTATCCTATATAAGCCAACCTAGATCTCTCACCTCCAATGTGAATGCATATGTATATTCACTTCCCTGAGTTCGCTAATCGGCGCCTTGCCCCCCGCTTCTCCTCCTCCTCCTCCAATCAATACAACAATTTACAATTTACGTCAGCTGTTTGTATAAGAAGTATAAAGTATAAAACACAAAAAAAGCAAAACAAAAATCGAACGCGACAGAGCGTGTTATATCATCAATTGCCAGACATTCGCTATGCTATGCTAAACATTCCGGCATATGAATACGAAAAAAATAAACGCTAGAATCGCATAGAATTTCCAATACCCTGCACAATACTAAACCCCTCGAGTTCGTGCTATTCGCACATTTATGTACATATTTATGTGGCTATTTTATTTATTGCACCCCCTCCCACTAAAATGGGGGCACTAAAAATAAGTCGAAGGAACTTGCACTTGGCTCTGTGGCTACCTCAACATAAATTTGTTTATCTATGTGTGGGTGCGCTGGTGTCGTTTTCTAGTGTGTGTGTGCACAGAGAAAAATTAAATTTAGTTACAAATCAAAAAGTGTAAAGTTTACAGTCCTCATAAATTATTAAAAATATTTTAATATCTAGGTAATTTCAGGTTCTAGTTAGACTCTTTATTTTAAATAATTTCTTTTCTGAACCTTTCATGCTCCTTTTCATTGAAGTGTATTTTTGTGCCTGTGTGGGTGCATGCAAAAATTGCGTGTACCTAAAATTAGAGCAAAGAGTGGGACACAAAGCAAAGGCGAAGACATGGGGCACAGACAAAGGTAAAAGTGACTTGCACAAAATTGCTAAACAAAGAAATGGCCATAGTCTCCTGCGAGACAGAGAGGTCTAATTGCTACGAATGAGACAGAAACAAAGAGCACGCGTGGGGAATAGGAAAAAAAAAAACTGCATGCAATCGCGGAACATGTGACGTGCGATGACGAATGTTGACGAAAACAAAATGCAAAGTGAATGGGAAAGAAAGGGGGGAGGAATGGGGGTCAGAGGGAGAATTGAAATTATAGAGCACCTTACTATCGCATCACCAGGCATTGACCACTGCCACTGACCCATTGATAATGCGGAACGGAAGTTGAGCTCGCTCGCTTGCTCAGTTTTTTTTTTCTACATTTTCCTTTCAGCTTTTTGCTAGCTATTGCTTTTGTTTTCGTTTCAATTTTCAGCTCACACTGGTTTTGTTTTGAGCTAGTCTCCGCTTTGAACTTAATTCTCATTCTCTATACGACAAAATAATGTTGATAACACAAACGTGTCGCGATCTGACAGATCTTTGACACAATCTCTATATGGGATCTATAATATGGGCAAGATGTTGAAATCGCTGATGTGGTTAATTTCAATCTGAGATTCTGGGAAAGTGTGTTAACCCCAGACCAAGGGCTTTCCAGCTTTTATTACGAAAGTGAATAGATCAAAGTTCAATTTAGTCTAAATTCACTGGGTTGGGATATATCTAAATACGATTAAATGAGAAATATATACTAAAACACCTGAGATATATCAGCTGTAATTTTCCTTGAAATTCTTTGAGATGGTCCCAATGTTCATTACTCATACGCACCGTTGACAACATTTAGTGGAAACGTGTCGTATGAGTAATTTTTCTATAAGAAACCAAGTCATTGCTATAAGTAAGTGATCCTTCATCAGAATTTCCATTTCCATTTCCTCATCTGTCTTGAACGGACTCGTGTGTTGTCAATCGTGCAAATATGCCTTAAGAACGCTCTACACGTACAGATGTATACACATGCACATACATACATACATACATACGTAAAGCAATCAACAAGCACATGAAATCACACACTTGCACATAATGTATCTAGTATAAATTCTGGCGAAATGTAAAAAGCTTCCGAGAGTAGACATTTTGTTATTGTAAGCGGGCAACGAAAACCCCAGCAATAAAAATAATAACAACAACAGTCAAAACTCGTCAGTCAAGCAAAGCTACCAAAAGCTCCATCATATATACAAATACATACATACATATTTCACACACTCACACGTACAGGCCCCCATATAAATAGCTAAAGTCTACGAAGATGGCGACAAAAGCAAATAGACGGAAAACATATGTTGGAAAAAAAGAGAGCGGTACAGGGAAGGAGAGCCAAGTAAAAGCACCCACGCTCTCGCAAAGCTTTATTTATTTATATTTATTTTTTTTCTTTACAAGCGTCGCGTTTTGTTTACAACTCTGCCGTACAGAGGACTGTGTGTAGTTATGTGTGTGTGGGTGAGTGGAAAACAAAGGCAATTCTGCGATAAATTATACATTCAAAACAAAATATAAAAAATAAACAGTTTTGACCTTGGGCTCGCTTAAAATTCGTGCTCTCCCACTTTACGTTCGCTCACCGCTCTCCGGCTTTCAGCCATTTAATTTGTTGATAGCAAAGACACGCTAACTGTTTTTTGTTCTTCTTAACTTTCCTCGATAATTGTTATTATTATTATTATTGCATTATTTCATTGTGTGTTGAAATTGCTCATTCTACTCCCTAAAGCTGTATCGATGAAGTGTGATGGCAATTTCTATACATTTTTATAGCCGGACTTCCCTTTCGTTGTTCGAAATTAGTCACGATAAAGTGCATTATTGTCACGCCTGGAACTTGAGCTCTGTACTTTGAACCCTTTGAAAGTTTTACCATCCGAAACCAAAGCACTTCACGTGCTCATCCCTCGGATTTTATTAGTTTACTTAGCTACAGGCTGGATTCACTAATGTGAACAAGAACATTTAAAATTTATAAAATTAAAGGTGGGTTAGCTTATCGGAGAAATTATAGTATTGTTTTGAAAAGATGTGAAATGTGAAAAAGCGAATTACTAAATGCTAACGGTCTACTGCTAACAGTGTTATACTAAATGCTAACACTGTTATAATCTAAATGCTAACGGTCTACTGTTAACAGTGTTATACTAAATGCTAACACTGTTATAATATAAAGTTATCTTAATGTGATCATAATAGAACTAATTCTAAACCAGATATAAGGCATTCTTACTTATAAGTTTTCGTTATTTTCATTATCTGCAATTTCCCTTGAAAAGTTTATCTTAATAATTTTAAACTGTAAATACTTTGGGTATGGATTTACTTATATTTACTTGGCTTTATTCTCGCTCCTCTCTGTCTCGTCGGTATCATAATGCTTTGGATCAGATGTTCATCAGCTGCCCCGTTTTCACCAGCAGCGCGCTTCTTCCCCACCAAACATTTCGCGTTCATTAACTCGACGCGTCTGTGTGCGTGGGGGAAACTTTTGGATAGTAGTATTATTCATTATATAGAAATGCTTGTTTAGCTTTTATTGTTTGCTCCGTCTTCCACTTGGGGGTTTCGTCTTCCTCTGTCTTCTGGTTTTTTTATTCGGCAGCAAAATGTGTAATAAATTCTTTCCCGTTCGCCCCTTTGCGTCTATTTCCATGTTTGAAGTATATAACATTTATAAGTATACTATATAAGCGCCCCATTCGGGTTTTTTCGGTTCCTATGTTTTGGTGTTTGGTTCGGTTTGGCTCGGTTCTCGCTTTGTTTTTTATTGTTTGGCCTTCAACGCGTTCAGCTACCTTTGACGAATATTAAACAATTTCAAGAGGAAATAGCAATAATGTAAAGAAACCAGAGAAACAAGCATATCACTTAGCAAAGTAGAATTTTTGGTCTGGGTTTTGAGTTTGAGTTTTGAGTATATCAAGCTCCCTCTATACATACATATAAGGTGTGACCTTGAAGTCTTGGGAACGGTCATTACAAAGTTCAAATCGGAAGTAATGCAAAGCGGACCTTATCAAGCATAATATGTGTGTGTTGACTTATCGGTTGTAATGTGCGAAAGATAAGCCAGATCAGGATAGAATTCGTTGTGGTTCAAATTCTCTCAGACTTTTGTGGAATATTCCACAACTGGATTAAGTAATTAATTTATTTAAAATCTCTAGAGACGACCCTCTTCCGGCTCACCTTTTAATTTCGCGATTGTACCTCGTCAAGGACGGTTTCCTCCAAAAATTTTCCAAAATGCGCCGCACAAATTGTGCCAAATCCCTTATACTAGATGCACTTTTCATTTCTGATTTATGAACATTAAATGGAAAACGAGAATGTTGTATTTTCTTTTGTAAACAAACTAATTAATATTTATTATCGGGCCGCCAAAATGAAAAACAACAACAATAGCAGGGCAAGGCAAGACGGGCGCCTTCGATCCGCCTCAGGCCTTTCACCTGATCGGAAACGAGTATAAACCAAAAAAAGAATCGGCTCGAATCGAACCCCGAAAAACGATCAAACCCGAAAATGGCTTACTAATTTTGCCAAAAACTTTTTGCCGATTCCTCTTTTGCTCTATTATTGTTTTGATTTTTGTTATTCGCTTTTATTTTGCTAGTTCTTTCATTGGTTGTTTTGATGTGCAAAACAAAGTTGTTGATGATTTCTCTGCTTTTTTTTTATTTTATTTTATTTTGCTTCCAAAAATTTGTTGATCACCAAATCAGTAAAAAAAAAGTGAGGGAAAAGAGAGGTTTTTTTTGACGGGACCGGGTCTATCGCTGTTGTTTTTCTGCTTATAAATAGGCGATAACCATAACAATAACAAACGTTGAATAATGTTAAGTTGGTTTTGGTTTTGGTCTGCCTCTTGGATTTGCACATTTCTATTTTTCCAGAGTCATCAAAAGATTGGATTGGCTTTATCACATAAGTTTTAAGTGCCATATCAGGTTGTTTTTGATATTAGTTTATAAGCTGAAGGGATTACAAGGCAGATGATAGCAAAGGGAAAGTAAAAATAGCAAGGGAAAAAGCAACCTAATCTTATCATGATTATTTAATTTATTTTATTAGCTTTGCGGGGTAAAACCCTAGACCATTCCCTCTGTCATAATTTATGTAGATGTTTACCCATAATTTAAGCGATCACGTGTTCAGGCGAACACGTGAGACCATCAATTATAATCTTGTGTTGGGTTTGGCTTTAGTTCCGTCTAGATAACAGCTGCAAAGTACTTAGCATACTATCTAGAAATTCATCGGAATTGGGCTGAAAAGTATCCACTCGGGAAACTAGTAACTAGCCAATGATTACACAGAAAGAATGAATCATCTAGTTTATGTTTTGAAATAATTATAATTATTTCAACATTATAGAACCAATCAAATGTTAATGCAATGCCTTTCATTCATAAATAACCATTTAAAGTATGGTTACCATTAGCTAAAGTCTGCTTTTCTTTTTTCCTGTGCATGGGAATGCGAATGCTGGCTGGCGCCAAGGTTGTCTGGGCATAATAAAAGCCATAATATATTCATTTAATTAGTTGCTGTCTCGTTTTACACTACAACTAGAGTCTGATTCGATATTTCTTGATATTATTGCAGATACTACAAGTGAAGTGAGCGCCGGGCCTTGGTGCCCCCCCCCATTTGGAAGCTGTAGAAGAAGTAGGAGCAGGAGCAAGAGCTACTATCCTAGAGCAAAAGCGGGATTTGCCCGCAAAAAAATACAATGACAGAGAATCAGCTGTATCCCATGTCATCGGAATTCTTTGACACAGGCTCCAACAGCAGCAGCAACGCACTCAAATACGATCTGTATTCGCTGGGCTCCAGTGTTGTGGGTGCGGCCCTGCCCACGTTGACCATCAACACGGGCTATGGCATTGGGAGTAATAGCACCAGCAACAGTAATAACAATAGCAACAACACTAACACTAACAACAACAACAGCAGCAGCTTAAGCGGCAGCAGCAGCAGCAGCAACTGCTCCACGAGCACCACAAACACCTGTAACGTAATGCTAAGTACAACGGCCATAACAATACCACGCAGCAGCAACCACAACCAGAGCCATCATCATCCGTATCAGCAGCCGGATCTGCAGACGCCACGCCATCATCCCAGTCCTATACACACATTGCCCAGCATGACCCATCAACAGCAACACCATCAGCAGCAGCAGCAACAGCAGCAGCAGCAGCAGCAGCAGCAGCAGCAGCAGCAGCAGCAGCAACAGCAGCAGCAACAGCAGCAGGAGCAACTGCAGCATTCGCATTTGACACTGGGAGAGCTCTCGGACTTTGGTTTGGACGCCCTGGACGCAGCTTCCCTGTCGCCCACTCTGCTGCAGGATGTAAGCCTAAGTGCTGCTTCTCCATTAAGCACTGGGCTCTACAATGGCAACACCAGTGGAGCGGGCAGCAGCAATGGCGTGTCCGGTTCTGGAGGCGGTGGTCTCGCTGGCGGCTACTTTACCCCCGACATGAGCCATACCCTCAGTCTCAATGTCAGCGAGCATGCCCTGCTCCAGGACACTGTCAGCCAGAATGAGTTCTACGAGATGACGCCCAATTCGAATGCCATGTGGAGTGATATCAGCAGTGCCATTATCCATACCAAACACGAGCCATTCAGCCTGGACGATGACTATATCTTTCCCAACGACAAGGCCGAGATCCAAGCGGCCGATCTGTCTGATCTTAATGGTGGCGACTTTCTGGATGTCATTGGAAACATCGAGGATTTCTTGCCACAGACCACAGTCTCTCAAAGTGTCAATTTCCTGCTGTCGCCGCAGGCTCCGGGACAGGATTCGCTGGTGGCGCCACCCATGGAGCTGCTTCAGCAGCAACAACAACAACAACAGCAGCAGCAGCAGCAACAGAATCAACAACAGCTGCAGGTTGGCAGCCTGCCCCAGTTGCAGACGCTGCTCACGCTCACCCAGCAGCAGCAACAGCAGTCGAACAGTTCCTCCACTAGTCCGTATGAGATCTATCACAGTACACCCCAGAAGCCGCAGCAGCAGCAGCAGCTCTCGGCCAGCTTCTCGCCCGGCAGTCAGGCTTCCCAGTCGCCACTGACCCCACCGCCACCGCCGCATGCCAATCGTCCCCAGTACCAGATGGTGAAGTCACGCAACATGCAGGAGTTGATCAAAAAGGGGTTTGCCATGTCCTCGCCACCGGAACGCTCAATTCTCAGTCAATCCGCTGCTCTGAGTCCTGGTGGAAGCAGCGGTTTCGGCAGTTCCGGCTCTGGAAATAGCACCGCTGCCAGTAATCAGACCCCGGGATCAGCCGTGCGGAAGTCCTTTGGCTACCAGAGTGCCGTGGAAAGCTCCCAGCTGAGCCGGCTGAGCTCATCGGCGCCCACTCACCTGGGTTTGGAACACATCTGGATGCGTCGGGAGCCGAGACAGCATTTACTCTCCACTGGCTCGCTGGCCGAGGCCGAGAGCTTCTCCTCTCTGAGCACGGGAAGTGTTCTCTCCCCGGATGGCATTGACTTCTCGCAGGACGATGATGATGACAATTCGAGTGAGAATAGTGACAACTATGATGATTTTAGCAGTGACAATGGGCTATCTGGGGATGAGGATGACACGCGCACCTCAACACCAAATCAGTTGTCCAGTAGCAAGGGCAAGGAGCGTTTCTTCTGGCAGTACAATGTCCAGGCCAAGGGACCCAAAGGCAAGAGATTGGTCTTCCAGTCGAAGCTTGAGGATCCGCATGTGCTCAACGAGGTGACGGATCCCGTCTTTAGTCCCACCTGCTCCGTCAGGGGCATTAAAGTGTATAAGGTACGAGGAATTTATACAAAATATTAAACAGTAATTAATTAATTATCTTTATAAATTAACAGCACAGCGGCAAGGCGCGTAAGGGCGATGGCAACGATCTGACCCCCAATGCCCGGAAGCTGCATAACATTGGCAAGGAGCTGGATAAGCTTAGCCGTACCATCAACGATATGACCCCGGTTTCTGAGCTGCCCTTCAATGTGCGTCCCAAGTCGCGAAAGGAGAAAAACAAGCTGGCTTCGCGAGCCTGTCGCCTGAAGAAGAAGGCCCAACATGAGGCTAACAAGATCAAGCTCTATGGCCTTGAAATTGAACACAGTGAGCAAAAATAAATGAATATCCAGTTAGACTTGATATTAATCCGCTTCCCTCCCCTTTCAGAGCGCCTAATCAATGGCATCGCAGAGCTCAAGCAGGCCTTGGCCCTGAAGCATCGCACCAAAACTCTTGGCGAGTCCACCGAGGAGGTGGATCAGCAAATTGCACGCATTTACGCCACCGCCTCGTGTAAGTGATACACAACCTATTTGTGCTTTTCCAAAACCTAATCAAATGCATTTTTCTATTTCTACAGCTGGTATCCGCATTGCGGGCGGTTCAACGGATTTCGTGAACAAAGTGCTGGAGAATATGCGCGGCGGCATGCCAAACGGAGGACTCGAGGAGCTGCGCAAATCATCGTAGACCAAAAACAGAAAATGCAAAGCCAACGAACCGCCCATCAAGATTAGTTTTAACGAGCTTAGACCTATAGAGATGCCCCAGAAAATAGCAGCTGAAGCCGATGCAAGTGAGGGATTGGATTTGGAATGTAATTAGTCGGCGGCCAGCAAATGATTTATTTCACTCGTAGAAATCAATCATGGATGCAGCCATACGGAGATCATCGGGAGAAGCCGATGGAACCTGGAACCCTCCTCAAAATACAAAGTTCTGTTACAATGTTCTGCTTGAGTGATATAATAAGGATAACCGAGATATATAACTGTGATTTAATGAGCCTGGGCTTAGTATGTTTTGTATGGCAGGAAATAGAAGGATATACTTTTTTTTGAACACCACAAAAAATACACTAACAAAAACGTAAACAAAAGAAAATGAAAATATTCCTTTTGAAAATGCAACATTAACAAATCGAAATGAAAAGAAACAAAACAAAAACGTAAAGAAAGAGGCAACCACAAAACAAAACAAAACAAAAAACTAAAATTGAAACTGCAAAAATTACAAAAAATACAACATTTTGTTTAGCTTTTAAGATTGTTAAGGAACGAAATGTTAGATGAGAGAGCACGTAAATTTTCGTAGGACTTCGCTACCAGTTTTACCTGCTTAACGAATAAGGAAGGGTAGGGTTTAAATACGTTTGATTTTATTGGAATTACAATATCTGGAATGCTAAAAATCATACATGAATAAGTTATATACAACTGCGATTTATCTGTTTAAGTTTTCAACGCTATATACATACATATATATAAATATTAATTCTGTATAATTTGGTTCAATGTTTTAGTCTTAGGTTTTTACGTCTAACTCAATGTGGAGAAGAGAGCTTTTATATTGAACGTATATGCATATGTACCCACATATTACACTTATCGGTAATGCTTATTGTTTTGATTCACATCTAATATATATACACATATGGTCCTAGGTTGTTCTTAAGTTTTCCATTTTGTTAAAGGAAGTTTGATTGTTTCGCAATGAGAATGAGAATGTTTTGCGAGACTCGATTAATTAAACTATATACTATATAACTATCTATATATACATGCGTGGTGATATAATTTTAATTTTCTTTTTATGCTTTTATTTCTTTATTGTAACTTTAGGTTTGATTCATGCTTGAACTCTATAACTGAGAATGAAGTAGTTTTAAGTTTTTATATTACCCATACGATTTGCATATGAAATACCTTCAATATAAATCATAATTTATTAATTTCTAGGCACACATGAAAACACTTTTAAGGCTTCAGTTATAATATCCTTTTCACTTGCGGGCTACTCCAAAATTTATTTTGATAAAAATATAAGAAACGAAAAAAAAAAAAAACAAAAAAACGTAATACTTTTTTGAGTTTTATTCTAATTTGCATTATCGAAATGAATATATTTGCTCTGCTTCGATGCTAATTTTGTGATATTGTATTCAAATTTTCTTTTTTGTGCGGTTTTTTTTGTTAAGTGGGACACGGGATTATCCTCTTTTTGGGTTCTTGTTTCCATTATCTATTTGTAGCCTTTCTTACTGCTATTTGTTGCTTAACGTGTTGTGTTCAATCGATATCAAAAGAATTAACTTTCGGAGGGTAAAAATCTAACTAACATTCTAACTGATGGGAAACAGAAACAGATCGAGAATGAGAACGAAAATACAAATTACAAGTGATTCAAGTTAAAAACTTAGAACTTAGGTACTCGTATCACTCGTATCACAGCGATGAACACGTGGACATAACAAATTGTAGTTGTTAAATCTAGGCTTAAACAAGTGTAAAAGTGAAAAAGAAACTAATTGAGCGCACATAAGTTATAAATCAAAAACACAAAATTGGCCATCAGTTTTAGGGTTTTCAAATTCATGTATTTGGGAGCTTAAACCTCATTGCATAAGTGATAAGAATTCAAAATTACAATTTAGAAATTTAACTAAAATGCGAAGGGCACATACACTCACCCACATATATACACGGACACACACACACAAAGTACAAGCGCAAGCAAAATACAAAAAATATGTATGTACTATAAATATGCATATATCATATTTAAGTCAGAGTTGCTTAGGATTTAGGTTCAGCTTTGTGTCAAAAGTACAGAGTAAAAAGCAAAACAGAATTCAAGGCGAAGCAGCATTGAAATAAGCACGACAGTTCCTCAGTGTTTAATATTGTGTAATTAACATATTAAATATATATATTTAATACAAACAATTTATACCTAAATGTTACGGTTATTGTAAATGTGTGTGCTTTATATAAATGTGCTTCAGAGAAACCAACTTTTATATACATAATAACGAAACTAAGCAAACTACCTCAAGAAAACACGCTGGAAAAGGAAATACGAAGTTCAAGTTTCATATTCGACAATGTAACGAAAAACAACAAATTTGGAATGTAACTATTATTTATATACGAGTACATTTTGAAAAACCAAGAGCCTGATTCATGTGTCCATTTAAAGCATATAAATATCTATATTAATAACAATGCATAATTATGTATTTTCAAATTATTTAAAATTAGGTATGATACGATCTAAAAATACAAAAAATAAAAATTAAAATTCAAGCTAGTTAGTTCTTCGGCCAGCCGAAAAGATAATGCACTTGATCCAGTCTCAAGAGAGAGATTTAGTTCCAGAAACCTTGGCCAAGTGCATTACCAGAACCAAAAATGGAAAAAATACAAATTTATTTGAACAATATTTGATAATACAAGTAAATATGAATAAACAATTATAAAAGAAACAACTGTGTTGAAAATTTCAAATTTTGTATGCATATACGCATTAAGCAAAAGTTAAAGGAAAGTGAAACATAACAATTATGTCTAAATAAACACGTCAGATGTATGTACAACGTCAAGAAGAAAACAATTGTCTATATTATGAAATACATACCAAATTGAATACATATTGAAGAAATATAATAAACAATGGCGAAAGCAGGACATTCGAGTTTACTTTTCACCTCTTCCAATTTCAGGTAGGCAAAAAAATGTGGAACGCTTCACGATTTTGCGTGTCATCCTTGCGCAGGGGCCATGCTAATCTTCTCTGTATCGTTCCAATTTTAGTATATGTTCTGCCGAAGCAAGAACGAAGTTCAAGGTGAAAATTCGCTATTTATATGAACACGCAGCGGAAAACGGACTTGTGAATTATAAGAGGTAGTGCGGTGATGGTAAAGCGCCCTCTGGTTTTGGATTTAGTAATTTTACATTGCTCTGTAGATGTCGTTTATTTGTACATGACATGTAAAAATTGTTTTGGCCCTTCTTTATTTTAATTAATTATTAAATTTATTAACAGTTATCAATGTCTTCGTAAATATTTCTGTTTCTCATGATAACTGTAGAAATAACAAAATAAGAGGTATGTATTTCATACTTCAAAAATGTTTGATCCTTATTAAGTCTGAATAAATCCGTATTAATTTAAATCAGTATTTCAGATTCGCATCTATAATGTACATATAGCCGTATTTATTTGAATTTATTGCAAAAATTAATTTAAATAAAAATAATATAGAAGGTGGACCCAGAAAATCCATTAACACTCTATTCGGTTTTGACCTAAATGAGCAGTATATCAAATATGCTCATATATATTTTTCCTACAAATTAAATATGAATTTCAAAATGATAAATATATTTTCATATCCAGGTATGACAAAAAAATGTGGAACGCTTCACGATTTTGCGTGTCATCCTTGCGCAGGGGCCATGCTAATCTTCTCTGTATCGTTCCAATTTTAGTATATGTTCTGCCGAAGCAAGAACAAAGTTCTTAAGAGATTTTCCCTATATATACTTAAGTGTGGTAGAAAACGCACTTGAGAATCATAAGGATGTGCCAGGAATTGCAAATTATATCCGTCAATTTAAAATTGTTTTCCTTAGCTAAGTAGATGGCGCTTATTTCTTTCAAAAAGAATACAAAATAAATTTAAAATTTTACTCTTTCTTTTATACATTTTTTTTACAACTTAAAATAATTAAAATTAAAAATCCGTTTCAATTTTGCTTGAAAACACAGTTCAATTTATTCGACTATAATAAGTTGATAGTTTAAAATATAAGAGGCACGACTAAGAGAGTTTTGTTTGGGGTTTTGGTTAGGGGTTTTAAAGACCAACCAAAGCTATACCAAATAAATTATACACATAACAAATACAAAAGACTTTAAGTGCAATTGGTAAAAAAGTGTTAAGTTGTTCTTGAGTTGATTGTGCTTTAATGAGACTCTGACTTCGCATTTGTAATCCTTCGATTTTCTCACTCGTGTCGCATTTCAGGCTGCAAGTCGAACCAGGAATTCAAGCCAGACTGTGTGGTAATCTCAGCATCATCCAGAGGTATTTTTAGCTACAAAAGAAATTAAATAAAAATTAAATATATATTATGAAAGGTGGGAACAGCAAAAAAATGTGGAACGCTTCACGATTTTGCGTGTCATCCTTGCGCAGGGGCCATGCTAATCTTCTCTGTATCGTTCCAATTTTAGTATATGTTCTGCCGAAGCAAGAACGAAGTTCTTACTATATTTTTCGCTATTTATATTGCACTCTGGCGGAAAATGGACTTGAGAATCATAAGAACGCGTCTGGTTGCTCTCTCCCTGAGTTTGGGGTGTTTTTCCAGGATTTAGGGTAGGTATACTCACCATTCCAATGATGGGACTGCCGCCGGATAGGAAACCCTTCTGCGTGCATACCGTCACCTCGAGTTCCGTCTGCCTGAGCTCAGCAATGGAAATCAGGTACTCAAAGGAGGCATCGTAAACGGGATTGCAATTATCCTTAATCACACCCGTCTTGCGCTTGGACTCCTTGCTGCGACCAGGCAGCAGGTATAGCTTCACATATGGATCAGGGATGTTACTGGGATCACGCAGGGGAATCTTCATGATCTTGTGAATGGTAACATCAAGTTTCTGACGCTGGGCACTATAGCGGATCGAGAGCTGGATGCGTCCCAGGTTGTGTTCACCGGCGGACGAGGTAGAGTCGGGAAAGCGGTGGGTCAGCACAGAGGCAGCCAGCTCACTAATTGGCTTCTCACTGGAAGTGGAGGCGGAAAGAGCCGGCGAGATTTTCACTGCCACCGCAGGATCCTCTTCGCTGATGGGAGACTCGGCAGAGAGACGTTTGCTGGGTGCCTGAGGATCCTAAAGGAAAATAGACTATTAATATTTTCTTTAATGGGTTTATGATTAGTGACCCACTTTAAATGTAGGAGGTGCCACCACAGCCACCTCTGGTGTCTTTACAGAACTGCTACGCGTGATGGCTGCCACCTGTTCCAAGGCATCCGACTCCTTGTCAATCTCACCAGGCTTCAGAATTCTTAGTGAGAGTGACATGTAGAGCTTGGATTCTGGTCCGGATTTCTGCAACTGGAATGGCTGCTGAATCACCTCCATGTTGAACTGCTTGAGCAAGGTGCTCAGCGTATAGGTGTATTGACCAATGTCATTTCCGGTCTTCTGATCATAGATCTTGATAATTAGACTCTCATTATCCGGATTGCTGACCAGGAAGGTGAAACCCTGCTCCCAAACCGGGGAATCATCGCGCATTATCATGGCCGTCTGTTGTTTCTGTTTGTTGACGCTGCACACCAGGTAGGGATCGGGCTTAGAGCTGGAACGAGCTTGCTACAAATGGGAGATTAATATTAATAGTATTAATATTTTAATAATAATATTTAAACCCACCTTCAAGTGCCTGGCAGAGTCAATGAAGACGCTAAGAACCGCTGAGCTCATAGAGGTCACACGAAGGAGCTGCGTTTCCAAAAGGATCTGTTGCAGATCATTGGGATCAGCGGTGAGTTTGTACCACTGAAGACGGACATGGAGGAGTCCATGCTTGGCATCTTCCAGGGTGAGCCACTGGAGGAGAAAATATTAATAATTTATTTTAGAGTTAATTAAGTTTCAAGCGAATTATTACTCACACTATCCACGACACCCTTTTTGATCACGCTGGCAATGTCGATGCTGGCTCTGTTTTTCATAGAATATTAAATGTAATTAGTTAAATTAAAAATTAATATAATTTTATAATAACAAAATAAAAAGTAATTGGTTAACTTTATAGCAGGGTCATGGGTCAGGGAGCCTCTGCCAAATCAAGCTGTTTTGGAGGTCTTTTTCTAGATCGTTCGTGTACAGAGTTTCTTGGATAAAAAAGTGTAAAATCTGTTCTTGGGAGCTCGATCATATTGAATCTATCAATCAATCAATGGTTGCCTAACCTGCCAAGCGACTCATCATCACTAGTACGGTCCCAGTCAAAGAGTCTGAGCACGAGTATCGCATGCTGCGAGACCTCGACCACGGCCTTTACAGGGTATGTAATTATTCCAATCATCGTTCGAACCAAAAGCGAAGGTAGAAAAGTATTTTCGCATTAATTAGTGGGTTAATTCCAGCGCAAATCTAAAAACTCTACGGACTCAATTAAAGGTAGTTATTTACAGGTTCTCAAACTAACTACGGTTTGGTCAATTGGCATGCATTCTGGTGGTTCTTTATTTATTTATTTATTTATTATTATATTTTGTGTGTCTCTGTGGTTCAAGGTGCTCCAGCATTGGCTTGTGTTCAAAAATCAGTGTGTCATGCAATTGGGTTCTCAGGGGTCAATTAGTAGCAAAAGTCAGTTCTGTGAGTGCGTTGAGAATACCTTGGATACTACGGTTTACAGAGAAATATGTAGAGATTTTTATAATCGAAAAAGATAGGAAATTGTAAGTAAATTGGTAGGTAAAATAATATAACTATTTAAAAGAATTATATTTTAATATTTTAAAATATAAATTTAATTTGTATTATGTGTTCGAATTTTTTATTATAGTTAGAAAAATTCAAATTCATTTGAATAAGCCATAAAGAGTCATTAGGTCATATAATTATAAAGTGTAGACAAGTACAACAATAAGTTATTATTACTAAAAATGTTAAGTAAATATATATTAATATATATTGAAATGTAGCAACTTTTACCATACTAATTTATTTTAATCAACAATCAATAGTAATTAAAAATCCAAACGTGACAGATTTCTATAAAAAGCCGTTTAATTAGCCAAGTTAAATCCTTTTAAAATCCAATCAAATATTCAATAGCAAAATCTAGAATTTATTTTAAAATCGAATCAATTAAATTGGGTCACATCTGTGAGCTTTCCCCCACAATTTTCTCAAACGGAAACCAAGCATCAATGGATATCTCATCACACCGAGGTGTTGTTGTTCACGCAAGTGCTTGTTAGTAAATTCATTCAGAACATAAATAAAAGTCAAGAAATTCTAAAAAAAAAAATAAATAAAAAATAAACAGAGAACAAACAACTAACAAATTGTGAATGCAATTTCATGCTGCAATACAACCTGCCCAATACATCATCGCTCTGTACACCTGGCATTGTCTGATCATAGTCCCACAAAGAAAACCCAATATAGTGGCCTATGGTGGTAAAAATACACGCCTAGAAGAACAAATGTGTGAGTGTTTTGGGTGGTAGAAAATATATATAGAGATAGAGAGAGAGAGAGAGAGTATATAGAGCAGAGCGCAAAAGGAACAGTAACTAAACAGAGTCGAGTATATAGTTTATCCTTTTCGATTCATGCAAAAGGACTTTCAGTTCAATCAACAAACATTACTCACACGACGCGTCGCAAAGTGAAAAGTGGGTTTTGTAGGTGGTGCAGGTTGGGGTGTGGTTTTTTTAACAAAAAAATAAAACCAACAATGAAAAATGATAATATTTTGCTTACCTGCCAAGGTTCTCATCTTTCTTGGAATCATCCGAATCCTTCAATTGTATTTCAACAAATTGACCCATTTCAATAAATACTGTTGCCTGTTGCATTTAGGCGCCAAACAAAGTACGTAAAATCGAGTGATATAAAAGAATGGAAGAAATCAAAATGGAAATAACCAAAAGGCAAAAAAACAACAAGAACTATGCAATAGTATAATTTTTGTGGACTCGTGTTGGGTTTTTGTAGAGCATGCAGAGCAATCGATTGACAACAACAGCAGACTACATTAAGCAAACGCAACAAACTCTCGGGATTCGGCTTTTGGGGAATCCCCGCAAGCAACCTCCGCAGCATACGCACCTCGCACCAGTAATCCCATTTGGGATTCACATTGTTGTCTATGATCTGGGTCTTGAACTCCTGGGCTCCAACATTAATGATGGCATACGGATCAGACTTGCCCTTACCCAGCACACTGATGTCCTTCTTCATCAGATCCTTGGCCTCCACCACATGAATGCGAAGGATGCCCTGCAAGAATTGAGTATAAAATAAGTAATATTATTTAATTTTGTATATGTATACAACCCACCTCTGGTTCGGGCATCTTCAGAGCCACTGCTGAGACTTCTTCACTCAGGGATATGGGTAGCTTATTGGGCAACACCATCACATTGCCTATTTGCTCCACAATGATCCTCCGCAGCAAATCACTTAGTCCTGGCATATCCATAAAGTCAATCACACCCACCAAATTAAAATCAATATTCGGATTGTTTAGGAAAAATATCTGTAGACCTCCCACCAGGGGCATTGATCGAATCAAAGGCTTCATCACCACACGAACCCAACCATGAATCTGGAAATCCTTAATGCCACCCTTCATGCCGCCCAAATAGAAGTTAATGTCACAATCACTGGCATAGAACAAATCTAAATCCATAATGATCTCATTCCGATCCACATTCTTGTCATAGATCTTCACTCCACCAATCCGGGGTGGAATCGTGCCCAGAATAATGCGATCAAAGCGGAAGCCATTCATTTTGTAATTGGCCAAAGCCAAGGCCACATTGGGCTCAATGGTTTCCTTAACCAAAGTGCGAGCATAGTGATTGGCATTGGGCCACACTTGTTTAAGGATCTAAAAAAATATAAAATATATTACAGAATTTATATAAAGCTTATTCTCTTTAATTCAGGACCCACCTTATTCAGCCACTCGCAACGCTCTACATCTGGAAAGTACACCCATGCTGGCAATTCATCAATTCTGGCCAGGATGACATCCTTTTCAGAGGCCAAGGCCGAAGCCTTCGCTATGTCCCTCTTCTTCTCCGATGTCTTGGCCAACTGGTCACGGGCCACTGACAGAATGACGGGAGCTATTAGCCAGGCCACCGACCAACCCATATAGCCCACCAAATAGATGGAACCCACAATGGCCACCTTCTTGCCCACCGTATAGATGATGGAGAAGATGCTGTTATCATCGCTGGCGGGTTTTGTAACCACTGCAGTTGCCTCCGTTGGTGTTCCATTGCCATTGCCATGACCATTGGCATTGCCAGTTGGCGTGGCTGGTGCCGCCACTGGGGATTCGGTCATTATTTTTTTGGTCTCCACCAGGGGCACAAAGGGTTCGGCCTCAGTGGGATTGGGTGGGTCCACGAACTTAGCCAAGGGCACCGACGTGGTGTTATCGCTAGAAAATATAAATATATACAAATTATAAATACAAAAATGTATACCAGATATTTCCGATTGTAAAGCTAGCTAAGCGAGTCACAGGCAGCTGATTCATTAGCGTTTGCCGGCTAAGATGCCGGCGTCGAAGCCATCATAATGATGATGTCATACTATTAGCTAGCAAAATGATCTTGGAATGCCTCTCGGGTTCTCTCTATATATACTATATACACTGTACACAATAACACATCTATGAACACTTCCCCCCATTTTTGCTGTCGGTTTGTGTTTGGCGTATCTTAATTTCTTTAATAGAGTCTCGCATTGCTCATACGCCGTGTGGGTTGGGTGGGGTAAATTGACACAGTTTTACGATGGTGGTGCTCTCACCTCTCACCACCCACCGCGTTACCTGTTGAGTGGATACACAAAATACATCGCTTTCATTTCCATTAAGGGGTAGCACAACTTTGTTGAGAAGTTTGCTGGCCATAAAAGAAAGAAAGGAAGCTTGAGGGTATTGGATAAGGAATGTGTAAGTTTTTAATGTTGGAATCTAAGATAAAAGTTAAGAGTTCATGGAAATGTGTTCTAGTTTTTGTTTATATAAAAGGAATTTATAACTTTTACTTTTAAACTATCTTAAGGCCATAACGCTGACTGAACCCTCATAATTAATTGAGTTATTCACCTATAAACCGCTTGTTTTTATTACTATTATTTTATAAACTTTTCAAAGTGTATTTATTACGTTTTCCTTAAACTTTTCCTTTATTTCGCCGTCTCTTTTAATTATTCAACGCTTTAGCAGCTGTTGACTTTATTCAAATTTCCCAGAATATTTCTCATTGTTTACCTTTCGTGCTCGCTTTTCTTTCTGTTTTTTCTTGTATTTTTTTATATGTGTTGCGGTGACTTTGGGGACTCATTATAATATAGCCGTAATTTTCTTTTAGCCAGAACAAACACACATTCGCATTTTATGTCTAACCTTGACTTGAATAATCTGCCAAACCAAACTTTCCAAGAGATTTACAACCTCAGCGCTTTACACTTTTTCACGCTTTGTTTGTTGTTAACAACAAAAGGAGAGGGCAGAAATTTTCACAAAGCCAAATTCTTGGAGTGGCTAAAAAGGGCGGGAAGAGGGAGGGAGGATTCCCTCCAGAGAGGGGCGAGGATGACAGCTCCAGTTACGAGCTTTGCTAATTTCGAGAGTTGCCAACATTCAAACTTAACTGTTGCACAGCGAGAAATTTTAGCTTATTTTTAAGTTTGTTACAGTGAAATTATTAAAATTGAGCTTCTTAAAATATTTGTAAATGGATAATCTTGTTAAAAAGTGTGTATACCTATAGAATAATTTATAGGATTAACCTTTTAATTTTGGAAATGTTAAAATTAAACTTATTTAATTGTTACTAAATAGTTGATCTAGTTAAAAAAGGTATTTATTTATTAGATAATTTATAGTATCCACTTTTTAGTTATGGATTTATTAAAACTAAACTTGTTTTAATGTTTCTAAATAAATGATATAGTTAAAGGGGTATATATTTATAGGATGATTTAAAGGATTAACTTTATAACTGTCTATAAATATGCTGATTAGGAATTTAAGCTTTAAAGTTATATAGTTTATGATCCTATAAACCATATAATAATATACAAATTATTTCCAGTGTGACAGTAGGTGGCCCTTGGGGAATTGTTACGTTTTGTTCCGTTCTGAGCTGCTGGGCACCTGTTGCTCTCTTCCCCCAACCCCCACAACCCCCTCCCATAATCCACCATAAAAGGCAACCAAAATACATTCCACTTGGAGGGAGCGAGAAACGAGAGTGAGAGTGAGCAGGAGGAGAGGGAGCGAGAGAGACTTAATTCGAGACTGGCTGCCAAAGCTTGTCTGCCTTCAAATGATGGGGAGACTTCCCATTGCCAAGAACTTGAACTTAACATGTTTTTTTTTTCAGCTTTTATTTTTTGTTGTATTTTTTGTTTTGCTCAAATTTATTTCCTTGGGCGCTCGTTCAGGTTTCTCAGCGATGACGTAGTCGCGGTATATGGATAAATGTTAATGTTGTTACTTTATATGTGCGGAATTTGTTAGTGGAGTGGCCTAAGTAACTGATAAATAAATAAATATAATTTAATTTAATTGTGGCATCACCTCATTGCTTAGATTGCTCCTTTTTTTCTTGGGGTGTGCGTGTGTGTGTGTAGGTTATTTATTTTTGGGTTGGGTTGAATTTACGTGCATCTGAAATAAAGATTCAATGGAGTTATCACTTAAACCGACACATTTGTATAAATAATTAACATATTAAACGTTTAATGTAAACATGCAGAAGATAGATAAAACCATGAATAAATTAAAATTGATTTAATGTTGCACTTTCGCAAATGTTTTATCACATTCCCGTTGTTGTTTTGCATCGCACTTAAATAATATTTATGGTTTTCAACTTTTTTCACTCTTCCATAAATATACAAAATAATTTATATACTTTTTGAGAATTTCTTTCGTAGTTCAAAATACATTGCTTTCACTCGCTTCCAATTGGAATTATTTAAAAAATATGCATTTGCTTGTACTACATATTTAGATAGCTCGGCGTAGCAAAAATTCCTTTCATCAAAAATTCACATAGAATAACCAAACCGAACGGAAAGCCAAATAAATACATGTATCCGACATTTGCATATATATATATATATATATATATATATATCTAGAGTGGGGCGATTATAGCTCAGGGCGTTCAGAACGATATTTGTTTATTTTTATCAAGTTCTATATTTTGTTTTAAGTACAACATGTTTCCAGTTTTAATAAACAACACATTGGGGTTTCTCGATTACACATAATAACAAACTGATTATACGCACCGAGCACGAAACCGAATTCTCAATAGACTTTTGATTACTACACTCGCTCCTGTACTTGTTTTTTTTTCAGTTTCTGGTTACAAAAACTTTTCACCGACTCTTTATTGTGAGCGGCGTTTTCGAACTAAATTGAATTGAATTCAATTCGCTAAGCATCAGTCTCTAGAAGAAGTCTCCCGCGTTTGGGGTCTTTTGAGTCAAAGCTGCCCCCCGTTTGAGTGAAAGCTCTGTTACCACAGCAGCCAGCAGGGTCACAAGATTGTTGGCGCCCCATGATGATGGCCTGGGCACAGGGGCACTAGACAACAAGGTTGAGTCCACTTTGTAAAGGACCTCCTTTGTCGTACTGTTAATTAGAATATTAATGATCAATTAGAGCATACCAGGAGTGTGGCAGAGCCAGTGGCTTTTGTTCATTTCCAGAACGTAATTGGATCGACAACTAGAAATGATTAATTATAAAAAACAACAAGTTGTACAAATAGCAAAGCCTTTGATTACACAAAAACTTTACTTGAAGTTTGTACTATAATTGGGTAGTATTTTAGTACAAAATGTAGGTTTTGAAAGACGAAATTTCTGTCTAGGAATTACAATTACTTAGTTTTTGTGTGGTTAAAATCCCTGCTGCTCAGTGTAATTGGTATGACTTTCGTCCTTCGTCCTGGGTTAAGTGTTAATTGTTGTTGTAAGCCGCCTGCTTTTCTTTTCTAGCTGACTCACTTGCAAATGAGATAAAATCTAGGCTGTGTTGAGTAATTAGCGAAACAGTTTGACAGTCACTGCCACATGACGCACACGGGCGTAATAATACCCGGCCAACGTGTGCAGTCATGAGTAAGGATTAGGGATTTACCACCATTGGTTTTTCTTTGTTTTGTTTATTATTGTTACTATTATTATTTCTTTGCTACGTCCTTCTCACTATTTCATAAATATGAAATGATTGGCTGGCGTACCACATGGCGTATGTGTAATAATCATGGCATATGCATTTTTAATGCTTCGATGTGAAATCGAAATCGAAAAAGTAAACAAATGGGAAAGAGAAAGGGAAACTGCACCGCGAAAAAGCGCAAATCAAAAGCAAACAAAGGTCTGTCCTGGAAAGGGCCTCTGTACTTGAAACATGGCCTTCAACAGTCGCCCACTCACGAGCACCGCCCCCTTTTGCACACAGCGAGATGTGCACATTGTCTGCCTGCAGGACACGCAGGGAAGCAGCAGAAGAACTCGAGCGAAGGACGAAGGCAGCCTGCAGGCAAATGGAGCCAGGGGATATATGTGTGTATATCCCCGTATCCCTGTCACATCTTTCAACCGGAGAAAATTTATATGGAAATGGAGATGTAAGTAAATCCACCCAAAATTAAGCATCCTTTGGGAGTTTTTAATGCATGACAGTTCATCCATTTGTCATTTAGCATATGAAAATCCTATATCTTAAGTATAAATTTAACTTTATTTAAATTCTCTTCTCTATTTTCTCCTTGTGTACATATGATTGTAATCAAGTACGGATCAGCGGAAGTTACTCTCCCTTCCGGTGATGCATACACAGTCTCAATTAATGAGACAATGAAACCTTTGGGAAATTTCGAGCATTTTCCCAGGCCATATCCTTCATCGTTTTGTATGTAGAAACACGTGTTCACCATGTGCTTTCATTTAATTGCCACATAAATATTTGATTCAACCGGCTTTGATTTCCCTCAAAATTCTTGTGTGTGTGTGTGTTGAGGTTTTTCAACTTTGAACCCCACCACACTGCAGTGCCTTGGGGCGAGTCCGGTGGTAGTAAAACTTTCCCCTACCCAAAAACGTGTCATAAAACTTAATTCAAAACTAAACTGTGACAATTCCCGGGTTCGTAATCGAGGTCACACAATGCCGATGACGGCGCCTTGACTTTATTGAACGAACAATGTAAACAAATTGGGAATATTCTTCTCTCTCTCTTTCTGATTGGCTTTTCCGTGTAGCATCGCCTCGACTATTGCAAGAAAATTGCGTCACATAGCCTTTGATTTATGGAGTGGCTTCAGTCAAGCAAAGCGGGGAAAATTGAGGCAGAGGAGGAAGGTCAAAGTAGACCTGACCCAAAGATGGCACCTTTGATGTATGCCAGCAGGTCAAGCAGTAGATATACACCGCAAGACATTAAAGAAATTAAATGCAAACTTAAAATAAATCACATTGATTCTCTATACATTACAGATAATAAATAAATTATTGTCTAAGGAATTTTGATATTTAAATATATACACTTTCCTCTGTGCATAGTAAGCAACATTGATTGCAGGAAAATGTGTTAGATATATTGAAGCAAATGCTAAATGAGGTCAGAATTGAATTAGAGTCAAGGGGTGTTTCAAGGCTTCGCAGCCAAGTAATTCAATCAGGAATACTCAACTTTAATGGCACATTGCTGATTTTCTCTTGCTTTGCATTCAAGAGATTTCCAGATAAAATTCTAATCACTCGTGCAGAACCCAACCAAACACGTTTCAGCCATTTTTACTTATTTTAAGGTAAATTTCTTTACAAAAGCCAAATGTTTGGGACACTTCCCAGAGGCCTTTAAGCGTGCCTTGGCCTGGCATGTCAAACTTTTCCTTTGACTATGTTTGGTTAGCCAAAAAATATCCTTAGCCAGGTTGTTATATGCAGATGATGTTAACGTAAAGCGGCCTCAGGGATACATAGAAAATAACTGGCAATAGGGAGCAAAGTCGGGAGAAGGCTGCAAATGAAAGTTTCGCCACCCATTAAATTATCCTTTGCACATTCAGGGCATGTCCTGGCACATGTCCTTCTCTCTCTTTCGTTCCATTATTGGGGCTTTAATGTAAGCATTATCGGTGACATCGGGCAACTGACCCCCACAACTGAGTATCTACAGTAAGTACAATGGGAATGCGGTTTTGCCTTATGAATTATACACCAGTTTGCCACTATTTTTTTTCTGTAGTTATTGCTACCAAATGCCGAGGGTCCTCGGACCTAATACCAAAATGAAGAAACACGCACGGAAGCCGTTGATTGCGGCAATAAAAAGAAAACAAAGAAAGGAAGCCTCCAAAAAAAAGGGAGCCGATTATTAATGAGGTTTAGTTTGGGGCCAAAGGATACAATGTGAAGGATTCTTTAAGGAAAAACTCAGCTATGGTAGGGCAAAATACTATTTCCTTTTGAGAATTTCGTATTCATGATTACATCGGACTTGGGACAGGAGTACTCTTAAAGGACCCAAGGCTTCTAAAAAGAAGTGATTTAAATAATTAATATAGTGATTTTAGCTTATAATCCAAGTACCTATACTAACTAACACTTTAACCAATTTAAGTTTCAACATGTTTTCCTATCTTTCTAATTAAAATATTTCCTCTTTCCACGGATGTTGGAATATAATTGTAGTTTACACATGCAAACCCATCCTCCCCAGAGGTTCCACTTGGCAGGAGGAAACAACTTAACTTAAACGAAAATCCTCAACTTTTTCATGACGCGCCTGACTGGTTGTCACCAGCTGCAAGGATCTCTGTGCGTGCGTCTAACCACAACCACTAAACCCCGAGCCGCCTTAATGTGTCCACATTTTAATTACCCTTGATGTCGAGTGCGAAAGGCTGCCACCGAAAAATAAAGGATAAAGAGCAGCCACAATACCAACAACAACAAGGGAGGAACAAAAATGTTGAAGGCTTCATGGAAGCGCTCGCTGGCTTTCATAAATATTTCAAATGCCTGCCGAGGCCCCCTAGACCGTCCCTCCCTCAGTCCCTCTGTCCCCCACTTCATCTGACAGCTCTTTCTGTCACTTGACACTGCGTTTTTTGTACATATTTTTTTTTGCTTCTTTTGGGCCTGGGACAACGCTGCGTATGTGTAATTTACATGCGTCAAGTTGAAGGTGCATGAATGAACCGATGGGAGTGCCTCTAGAGTCGCGATAAGAGCCAAACCTTTTCGCAGGTGGACATTGGGGAAGTCGCCACTTAGGACTTTTGCATTTTTAATGCCGCACACAGGAAAAAAATATACAATAATGCTAATATATAGATGTATTAAGGACAAATTGGTTTGAGTACTCTAAATTTAAGCCTTAAAAGGTTTTAAGCATTTTGGAACAAAGAAACAAAGTAATATTTTAATTTAAGGATTTTTGAATGTATGTTTTAGTTATTTGTTTTGTTTATTTAATGTATACACTTTACTTTTTTTTTCTTTAAAAACAAATGAAATCTACACACTCTTGATTTACGACTCAATCTGAAATCTGAACTAAAACTGGCACAGGAAATCAAAGATTTCGCATTTTATTGTCTTGATTTTATTACTTTTAATAAACTTTGCAATAAGAACTTTACTGTGGTTTAAAGTGTTTCGCTGTAAGCCAGTAAAAAGCCTTCTTTTGGCCCTTTTTCTCTGTGCAACCTGAACTTTCGCCCAGTTTGGGAGCCACTTGCCTTGCGTTAAACAATGTCAATGGGTTGCCAAAAATAAAATTCAATTGTACGGCCTCTTTGTAGTTCCGTTTGCTTTCTTTTATTTCGTTTAAGTTTTGTTTTTTGGCCCGGCTCTCAAGTCGCAATATTGATTCGTATAAGTCGCGCGCGAATTTCCTTTCGCAGGACTAAGAAAAACACTGCCGACCGAGTTTTCACATTTTCCGTGTAATGCTTACCGTTGTACGCGAGTCGCACAACTGAAAATGCGGTAACTGAAGGCGAAATTCTATTGCCTCCGCAATATCACTCATACGCAGTGTTTGACCTACATCCTGGCAGAGAGCGGAGAGAGAGGAAGTGAGTGCAAGAGAGAGCTTTCGGTTGGAGCACATCGGCTAGACCTTTGTTTACGTTCTCAGCTATTTTTGGCGCCAAAATAGAACAACTGTTGCAGTGCGTGTTTACACAGCTGAAACAGGGGGACGAGGGTGTCCTTAGTGCGTGAATACATAGATGTGTGTGTGTTAGTGTATGATTTTTTCAGCTGAGAAAATAAAGAGTTTTTTGAGAATTCAAATGCTTGGGTTATTTTGGTATTTTATGTTTCTTTATTAAAAAATAATTAAATTAATTCATAACTAAAGATTTTGTTTAATTTTAAGGTAGACTATATTTTACTGAGTTTGTTTACTTGACATGAAAGCTTTCTTATTCTACATCTTATGTGCTTTGGCTCTCTCACCTTCTGACTCACTCTCTCCCAGTTTTTGGCGACTTACCCTACTCAATCCCAGCTTGTGTTTAAATTGAGTTTTGCTGATGCTTGAACAGCGATATGAACTTAAACAAACACATTTAGGATATTTACAAAATAATAAAGTGGAAGCACTTGGCTTTGCTGGATTTTATCAGTTTACAAAAAGACTGTCAGGATTTAAAAAAAATTTAAAAACATATTTAATGTAAATATGGATAATAATTTGCTATTTAAAACGAAAGTCACAATTAATGAATAAAATTAGGCTATTTAATAAAGCTCAGAGTTAATTATGGGACTTAAATATTTAATTTCAAAAGTCTTAAACGATAATAAATAAGAACTCTCATTATACCTCTGAAGGTTATTATAATTTTAGTCACAAGCTTGTAATGCTGTGAAGGAGTCATTTCCGACCCTATAAATATATAAAGTATATATTCTTGGTCAGCATCAACAGGGGAATCTTTCTAGCTTATTTCGGCAGAAAATCAAAATTTTTCAAAATTTTCCATTTTTCTAAAAAGTGAAAGTGGTTACATTGTTAAAATTGTCGAGAATTAATAAAATTTTTAATTTTAAAGTGAGTAAGCAGATTTATTAACCTAATAAAAACTAGCATAGTGACGCTTTCCGAATTGAAATTAATGCATTTTTGACTTAGTAAGGAGATTATCAAACTTTGATTTGTCGAAAAAAATTGCATATAAAAATATCGAAAAATATGAGCATATATATTAAACTTAGTTATAATCTATATCCAGATTCAGATTTGAAGTTTCCAGATTTAAAATAAAATACTGTACATTAAGTTATTTCTAAAAATGCTTTTTTGTTGTTTAGTGTCAAAGAGAGCCTGTAAATAAAAAGCACTGCTCTCCCTTAAACTCTCGCAGCAGAAGCCCGCCCGGTCTCCCCAGAAGTAGTCTCTCATTTGTGCTTATGCCAGGCAGCCCCACTGTTCCTCTCACTCTTGTTTTTGGGAGCAAGTAACAGTGGTCAATAATTTATTATTTTTTGGTAAATTTAAAAGAGGCTTGTCCTATTCTATAAATTATATACTTACACTTGCACTTATCTACTACTTAGTTACTACTTACATTTACTGTTAAAAGCAGTATTAGCCACGGTGAACCTACAAAAACTAGTTCTAAAGATTTGGGTATATCAGTTAATATATGGGAATAGTTTTAACTTAAATTACCAAGTTCATATTCAGTTAAAAATTTGATGACAAAATGTACTGAGAAAAAATATTACTCATACGCAGTGTTGATTATTTTTCATCCGTTGGATTTTAAGAGCTTAATTAAAGTCAATAAATATTATTTTTAAGCCCAAAGACCATATTTATTCCAGTTTGAGCTCATGATTCCACTGTACCCCTGAGATTTCACGCATTACTTGGTCGCTCATTCCCCAACCGGTGCTCATTCGCGCTCCAACTTTTGAAGCAGGCAGACGTGCGTCGTATCCGCTTCCGATTTTTGCCGCTATCGTCGGGTCGTTGGTCCGCCTCTGTGTGAGTGTGTGTATTTGTGCTCCATAGTTTTCGTATTCATTCTGCACGTGCTGACCGCCGCGACATAGTCGAGTGGCACTGGAATTGACAGTGGTAGCGGAATTAATTAATGCTCAGGTAGGGCCAGTAGGTCCCAATCAAATGATTAGTTCTTGTTGTGAATAAGAATATTGGGAGCTGAAAACATTCGCGTAATATGTGGCGTAAAATTATCTATACGTACAGTTGCTATGTGTTTGTGCCTGAAGCCTCGGCGCTCTTTGTTTTTGGTTGGGCTCGGTGCTGTTATGTCGCTGCTGGTGCTGCTGCAATTCTCCCTTCGTCTTTACGTCATTAACCGTTATTAAATTTAGTTTCTGCCATTGTATGCAGATGTGTCGAATATATATGTCTATTTTTTTTCAAGAAAATCTGCATGGGAAGCATGTGGAATGCCGGTTTTTCCACCAAAAACAGCAGCAACATTTTAAGCACCTTAGCGACGACCGGCGGCCAACAACAACCACTTGTTAGTCCGTGGGGTCGCCAATACCGTTTTACCGAATGCCCCAGTGCTTGGCTTTGTGTGTGTATGTGTGTGTTCATACAGTGGAACATTAGTGAATCGATTAACGAGAGGAGAAAAATGTAAATTACAAAAATGTACTGATTAATTCGATACTCTTTTAATAGATAATTTTAGTCAGATGCAGTGAAGGAGTCATTTCCGACCCTATAAATCATATATATTCTTGATCAGCATGAACAGCTGAATTGATTTAGCTATCTTAGGTTAAAAAACATTTTTTAGAAATTTTCAAATTTTTATAAGGGGTTACATCGTTAAAATTGTCAAAAATTGGCAACAAAAATGTTAATTTTTTTAATTTCCAAAATAATTGTGCAGATTTGTTAATCTAATAAAAACTAACATAGAAACGTTTTCCGAATTGAAATTAATGCATTTTTAACTGAGTTATGACCTATTTTCACTGCACTGGTTTTCCAAAGTTAGTTTGCATTCTATTTCCGGTTCTTTTGTTATTATTTTTTTATTGTTTAATGTATTGTTCAGTAACCAAAAATATTATTTGGGAACTTAAAATTCTATAGGTTTCACTGTACCTGCTGCTGCGATGCCGGTAAAGAAAAGTGTATTAATACATTTTTTTGTACAATCTGTTGCCGCAATTGTAAAAACAAAAGTTATCTTTATGCCGGTGTGCGCCCGTCTGTGTTTATTTAGTGTGTTTATAACATTTGATTTTGTTTAAAAAATGCTTGAAATGCAAAACGTATAATTTCCACTAATCGGAACATTCCCTAACCAAGTGTAATAACATTTGATGTGCCTGCTTTTTAAGCTTTAACCGCAGATAACAAACTTAGATAAAAAATGTAGGCCATTTTCAGCTGATAAAAGCTTTAATATAGCTGAAATTGTCTATGTTGAGTATTATCAATTGCCTTAATCGGAAAGCGGAGATCTATTAGCTTCGAGAACTCTACCATTATGTAGCTTTTTACGTAAATTCATTGGCAACGTCACAATTATTCAATTCAATTGCCTGCGCCCAGGCAATTAAGATCCATTAATTCGAGGAAGGGGCGAGGCGTTGGAAATGTGCTCTGTAAACGTTTAACGATATTACTTCACATTGAGCAACTGTGGAACGCTTTACTTCACATAAAAGTTCAGTCTCTGAAGTTTGAAACTTCTCACGGGAAAGTTTTAATGTGAAAAGTGCAATTTCCGTTTAGGCGTAAAGTGGGTCATCATATTTTACCCTGCTTGATGACCTTCAAATACAGTGTAGATGTTTAAAAGAATAAAATTAAGAAAGGTAGCTAAGATTGTATCTGAAATTAAACTTTGCTTAATATATCCATTTTCTTTAAATAGTTGTTTTTATATGACAATTTTATTAACAAATCAAAGTTTAAATATCTCATAACTAAGCCAAAAATGCATTAATTTTGATTCGGAAAGCTTCCCTATGATTGTTTTTATTGGACAAATAAATCTGCATAATAAATTTAAGATTTTAAAAAATTAAAATTTTTTATCAATTTTTGTTAATTTTTATGATGTAACCCCTTATAAAAATGTGAAATTTTGAAATAATTGAAAACAATTTAATTTTTCACCGGATATGTCTAGATCGATTTGGCTGTTGATTCTGGTCAATAATATATATGATTTATATGAAATGAAATGACTTCTTCACTGTGTTTCAAGCTTCTAATCAAAATGATAATACCCTGTAGGGCTAGAGAAATACGTGTCCAGACACACGTTCATTTGACTTATCTGAGAAGGTCTCTGGACTTTTGCTTACCAATTAATAAACATTATGATTATTGTCATCTGAGAGGATGTGCCGGTGCCAGTGTCGTGTGCGACTCCAAATGCTTTTTGATTTACGTTCATTGTGGCGTATGCTATCAGTTACAGAGAAGTAAATAGCAAGGCGTTAAGCTAATGACCGATATCGTGTGATTGACCGTGGGTTATGCTGGGCAAAGTTCAAGCTAGACTTTTATGGGGTTCCTAATAGAAGTTTCTTTTTATTTTTGAGCTAACATATCTACCTAAAACAGGTTTATATGGCTTTGGCTTTCACTTTTAACTGCCTGCGATTAGTTTTTATTTCCTTAAACTCTCGTTACCAGCCGCACGTCTCTCTTATCATTTAAAAAAAGACTCTTAATTATGGGGGTTGCCTAAGAATTTGACAAACTTTTATTTATAGTTGTTTCTATTTTATAAATTTTGTACTCCATTGTAATTTATAAAAATATAACGCTTGGCTACCATTGGTCCAGTTGCATTATTGGTCAAGGTTTTTACTGATAAGGAAGTAGTAGCTACTACTAGGCTAGTCACGATGAGGCACAATCATTCCTTCCTATCATTCCAGTACAGTATGTATTATTAAATAAAAATCGTATATTATAGATACACATAAATGAATTGAAACCCAAATGGAACACAATGGATACCACAATAGAAGATCAAATGATTCTTTCTCCATTTTTAATCTGTCAAAATACAATAAAATACACAATATTCTCTTACAAAACAATGTCCACTGTACATATTACCCAGACAAAACAAATATTCTTATCTATAAGTCTACGAATACGGAGGTATTTTTTAACATGAGTTTACTTCGCCGGCGATCACAGGTTGTGGAAGGCTCCAATCGAGAAGTGATCTCCTCCGCATGTCAGCATGGATAGTAGCACTAAGCCAACGCGCAAGAATCCGCGCCAGAATGCAAATATTATCTCGCAATTGATATTTGCCTGGGCCATACCTTTGCTCTACCGTGGATCTCGAAGGGGCTTGAATACGGATGATCTGACGGAATGTCTCAAGGAAGATCAGTCCGAACAACTGGGGGATTGTTTAGAGGAGTAAGTATTTTTGAAATACATGTTCATTTGACTGATAAATCTAATCAATTGATTATTTTTTAGACAATGGTTTAAGGAACTGGAACGTTCGCATCGGAAGAAAAAGAATCCTCATCTTAGGAATGCACTATTCCGTTGCTTTCTAGGACCAACCATAGTAAATGGTCTCATTTGCCTGATCTACATAGTAATCAAGTGAGTATGATTTGTAAATATATCTGTCTTACCTAACTAAATTTCAATTCTGTTCTTTAGAACGCTGATACCAGCTGTTCTGGCCCAGTTGTTGATCCAATTTCAAAAGAATCCTTTAATGAAAGGGGCTAGCGAAATGGATAATAGTGATTGGTCGCTTAACCGGACTGCTCGCTCTATAGGAAACTATGTAATAGCCCGGGCTGTGGCCGATGCCAGTGGTTCACTAAATGATAGTAAGTCTATATAGGATATTGAAATAATGTATACTATTTAATTTTTAATTATTATTTTACAGCCTACTCCCCCAATTCGCTGGACAAGGGAGGTCCCTTAAAGGAGCCTCTACAGCCGGTATCTGATGAGATTGCATCAAAGCCCAATATCCTAGATCAGGCGTTTAATTATGTGTGGAATGATACCTATGCTCTGGGTACTGTCCTGGTTACCTCCACCCTGTTCTGCTGCTTCCTGCTGCATCACGTTGATCTCCGTCAGCGATTGATGGGCGCCCGTATGCGTATTGCTTGCTGTTCGTTGATCTATCGGAAAACCCTTCGCCTCTCGATGAAAACAGCTGGACAGACGCCAGCTGGTTACCTTATCAACTTGCTCTCCAATGACGTTAATCGTCTGGACTATGGTTTCATATTCATGCATTGGATTTGGATTATGCCACTGCAGGCGGTGCTCACATGCTACCTGATTTGGTTGAAGATCGGGATCCCAGCGCTGGTGGGAGTTATTGGATTGCTGCTGAAAACTGTGCCCGTACAGACGGCCTTGAGCAAGGTCACCTCAGTGCTGCGAATGCGGATTGCAGAGCGAACGGACGCCAGGGTGGGCATCATGAATGAGCTGGTGCAGGGCATCCAGGTGATAAAGATGTACGCCTGGGAGCGACCCTTCCAGGCGGTGGTAGCTGAGGCTCGTCGCCGTGAAATCAAGCAGATCCGCTATGCATCCTACCTGCGAGGCTTCTACCTCAGCACCATGGTGTTCACAGAGCGTTCCACCCTCTACATCACCCTGGCGGCAGCTGCTTTGTTGGGTCAGAAAATCACGGCCGACTTTGTCTTCTCCGCAGCCAGTTACTATAACATCCTGCAATTGGTGGCGGCTATCTGGTATCCTCTGGCTGTGAGCTTTGGAGCAGAAGCCTTGGTATCCTTGCGTCGTGTTCAGGATTTCCTTTTGCTGGATAGTCGTGAGGAGCGGACACATGGACTGACACACAAGCGAGAGCAGGAGGCTGGCGATAGTAGAGCTGTAACCATCAAGGATATCAATGCAAGCTGGGATAATGAGAAGCCACAGAGGACACTGCAGAGCATTAATCTGCAAATCGAAAAGGGTCAACTGTGTGCGGTGATTGGACCCGTCGGTGCTGGCAAGAGTTCCATACTCCAGTTGATCCTCGGCGAGCTGCCTGTCATCGATGGTGGGGTTGTGATCCAAGGCGATCTCTCCTATGCAGCCCAGGAACCTTGGCTCTTCACTGGATCGGTGCGGAATAATATCCTGTTTGGTGAGGAGTATGAGAAGAAACGCTACCAGGAGGTGACTCGTTGCTGCGCCCTGACCACAGACTTCCAGCAGTTGCCTAGTGGCGATAAAACCATTGTCGGTGAGCGTGGAGCCTCCTTATCTGGAGGTCAACGAGCCCGGATCAGCTTGGCTCGAGCTGTTTATAAACCTGCGTCGATTTATCTACTCGATGATCCGCTCAGTGCCGTGGATGCCCACGTGGGAAGGCATCTGTTTGATGAGGTAATCGGACCTCGTGGACGACTAGCTCAACAGAAGGCCACCCGGATCCTGGTGACCCATCAGATACACTTCCTGTCCGAGGCAGACTTGATTGTGATTGTAGATCAGGGAAGGATTTTACGGCAGGGCACTTACCAGGAACTGCTCAACAGTGATCTGGATTTTGCCAAATTGCTGGAGCGGCCCAAGGAGGAGGAAGAAGCGGACAATAGTCGCCAAAAGACATCGTTCAGCGGCATTTCAGTGGAGAGCGATGACGAGGATATACCCTTTATCGATGGGGAAAAGGATGGGTATCAGCAGTTGAGGAAACGTAGCAGCTCGGTTCATGGCAGCAAGTCGGTGAGTTGGTATTTAAATCCTTCATTTGTAAACATTTAATAAACTTTCTCTTTAGTTGGACAGCTCGCACCTAGATGAGGAAGTGGATGAGGAGGCTCTGGCCGAGGCCCAAGCCTCGGGTGGAATACAACCACGTGTGTGGTACGAGTACTTCCATGCGGGCAGCACCCTGATCAGCTTCAGCTTTATGGTATTCGTGATGATCATGTCACAGGTGGTGTGCAGCAGCTCGGACTTCTTTGCCAACATCTGGACGCAGCAGGAGCACCAAAGGTCGCAGGGCAAGGCCACCAGCTTTACGACATTTGAGTGCCTGTACATTTACGGAGCCTTGATCATCGCCGTGGTCATCATGACCACCTTCCGTGGCTTCCTCTTCTTCAAGATCTGCATGCATGCCTCCAAGGTGCTGCATGATCGAATGTTTGCTTGCATCCTGCATGCCACCATGAGATTCTTTGACACCACTCCCTCGGGACGGATTCTGAATCGTTTCTCCAAGGACATGGGTGCCATCGATGAGCTTCTACCCAGAGCCATGATGGACTTTATACAGATCGCACTGGTGATGTTCGGTATTCTGATTGTGATCAGCATAGTGAATCCGGTTTTGATTGCGGCCATGTTGGTGGTGGGACTGGTGGATGTGCTCATCCTATTGCTGTACCTGCGTCCCTCTCAGGATCTGAAACGCCTGGAGGGCATCTGCCGGAGTCCGGTATTCTCCCACCTGAGTGCTTCGCTCTCTGGTCTGGCCATTATCCGATCTCGGCAGCTGCAAGAGGTAGTGGCCAAGGAGTTTGACCTGCTGCAGGATGTGCACAGTAGTGTCTGGCAGCTAACCATGGCGGCCAATACGGCATTGGGCTTATGGCTGGACTGCGTTAGTTGCGTCTTCCTCACCTCAGTCACATTCAGCTTTATCGTGGGCAACGAATGTAAGTCTGATCTTGTGTCTAAGGTAATCTCCTAACCCGTTTCCTTGATACCCTTTTAGCTACCTACAGCGGCAACGTGGGTCTGGCTATCTCCCAGGCCATGATCCTGACCGGCATGGTGCAATATGGTGTACGCCAGGTAGCCGAGTCCCTGCAGCAGATGACCAGCGTGGAACGTGTGCTCCAATACACCGAACTGGAGCAGGAGCAGGCGCTCAGTGAAAAGATACCATCGCAGCAGTGGCCCACCCATGGTCAGGTGGAATTCCGCAACATGAGCTGTCGCTACGATCCAAATGGTTCGCCGGTGCTGAAGAACCTAAATCTCACCATTGAGGCAGGCTGGAAGGTGGGCATTGTGGGTCGCACAGGTGCCGGCAAGTCATCCCTGATTGGAGCCTTGTTCCGGTTGGCTCACATCGAGGGTGAGATACTTATCGATGGCGTGGAGACGGGAACCATTGCATTGGAGGTACTGCGTACTCGCATCTCCATTATACCTCAAGATCCGGTGCTCTTCTCGGCCACCATTCGTTATAACCTGGATCCCTTTGAGCGGTATACTGATGCCGAACTTTGGAGCGCACTGGAGGATGTGGAGCTGCGGGGCGCCATTCCCGGATTGGATTTCATGGTCACGGAGCGGGGCAGCAACTTTAGTGTGGGCCAGCGGCAATTGCTGTGCTTGGCGAGGGCAATCCTCCGGAACAACAAGGTCCTTGTGCTGGACGAAGCCACGGCCAATGTGGATCCACAGTGAGTGTTTAAGATGGTAGCTTTAGAGTTTATTTTAATACCTTATTAATTTTGCAGAACTGATGCACTGATCCAGCGCACCATTCGCATCAAGTTCCAGCAATGTACGGTCCTAACGGTGGCCCACAGATTGCATACAGTCATGGACTCGGATAGGATAATTGTGATGGATGCTGGCGTGGCTGTGGAGTTTGATGTGCCGCATTTGCTGCTGAAGAAATCGCGTGGATACCTCCGGCAAATGGTGGAGGCCACCGGTGCAGAGGCGGATGCCCTGAAAAAGGTTGCAAGTGACAGTCACAAGCGCATGCAGAGACTGAGGGATGAACGCGATCGTGCCGCGGAGAATGAGGAGTAGGCAGTGGGGGCGTCTTACCGGGATTTGCATTTACCCAAAGCTGGTGCTTTATATGGCTCAAGGTGGTAGCTCCCAAGAGCAAAGACCATTTGTCCAAACAAATGCCGTACCAAAATGAATTTCCTCTACTCACACAACAAACACAGATTATGTTATGGGTGTTTAATGTACTTAGCTTAGTTAAGTTTGTAAACGAAAAGTCTTAATGTGCTGCCTTATACGTATTGTACTTATGTATAGATATAATCTCTATAACAGGAACTGCAGTGAGCTTTTGCATACAAAAACCTCTTGTAGATCCCCAGTGAAAAGTTCGCCAACTGAGAACATGACAAAACAGAGATACTTAAAGAACAAGACCCCATCCTTCAAGGATATTTATATTTTCTATCTTACTCACTAGCTAGTTTCTCACAACATACTATATATTTTGTATATATAATCTGTATAATAAACCACAAACTGTGAAAATTGTACTTGAAACTCTAGTTAGAAATTTGAATTGATAATTGCCGAGTTTATTAAAATATAAATAATTGTCATACAAAAGGAATGATAAATATAAAACTTAAACAAAGTACATAGTATTATTACTTGTTTTGGGTACATAATTGCAAAGTTTATTAAAATAGAAATAATTGTTTATACAATTCAATAATACAATTTAAAATCCAAACATAATTTTTCCTGATCATTTACGTGGTGACTTTCGATGAGCTTCTTTACCGCCAGACATCATTTGATTTGGGGATGGGTTGTGTTTTGTACTTTGCTTACTTTGTTGCTCGTAGGGAATGGGTGGAGTGCCATCCGGATAATTGACCAGGGAGAGGCGGCTCTCCCCGGAAAAAAGTGCCGTGCCCGTGCTCTGAATGGAACCGGATTTATTTGGCAATGAAATGAAGGAGCCAACGGGAGTGGAAGTCTTTTGTCTGTCGTTGGTGGCTCCAGTGGCATTGCTCACGGCCACGGCTGGGTTTAAATTCGTGGTGTTTGGCGAGAAAGAGTGGAGGACAGACTTCAGGAAGTGTCGTCTAAGAGATTCGTCTGAACTCTCTCCTTCACTGGTCTGCCCGCTATGCCTGATCAGTTCCCGAGCCAGAAATTGCCGTAAATTCAGAGATTTCCCCAGTTGACTGGCATCTTGCATGCCGGACTCATCGTGGGACCGGTGATGGTTACCCTCACCGGCCCTGGAGCGACGAGGTATCCGTTCTGGCGATGTGCTGGCAGTGCTGGTCTGCATACCACCCAACCGATTCCTTCTATTTTGCACTGGGGCATGCCAGTGCGGATCCCTCTGGTCCAAATCGGAAGAGTAATTGCTTCCGGTTAGGTAATCAATGCCGCTCTCATTGGGAGGCTCGTTGACGGTGGGAGCCACGCTTTCGCGCCGCGTGCTACTGGCCACCTCTTGGGCCGTCAGTGTGACCTCTGACATAATGCCGCGACGAAAGGAGCTCCGTAGAATCCTTCGCTGGCGCAGTTCTTGCTCCACATCCAGGGAATCGGATGACTCGAGGCTAGCACTGTCTATTAGCGCCCTCTCATCGGCCGGCTGCTGCTCAACTAGCTTCTGTAAGTATTCTCTACGTTTGGGAAACTCACGAATTTTATAATTAACCACCCGTAACTGACGGATCAATTCTGCCGTTTCCATGGTCTCCTGTTCCTGGTCCTCACCCACCTCCATGTGATGGTTGGTGGTGGTAATGTTATGCAGGTACGCATTAATGGTGGGAAACTCACGGTAATCAGCGCCGACACGCTGATGAACCACTTCTACAAGATCGTTGAAATCGCGCTGCAGCTGCTGGCTCTCATTAGCTCCCACCGTGGACAAGTCCAGATGCAATTCCTTGGCATACTGCTCAAAGTTAGGAAATGGCCTGGGCACCGGTGTAGCGGCCACAATGTGTGACTGCCCCGGAGTCTCCACTTCCGTAATAGTGGATAGTTCGTGGCCCAAGTCATCCTCGTCCAACTGGGGACTATAACGCCGGATGGTAGCTGGAGGTGCTTTAGTCCGATTCCGCAATGTATTGTTGGAGGAGCCTAGCAAAACGGGCTCTGTCTCCACGTTTACATGCCCTTGAGCCGTAAGGGGGCGCGAGTCCGCAATGCCACTATCCCTGCTGGCAGCCGTGGGCTTGTTCTTCTGCAGAGGCAGACCCTCCGAGAGGGAAGCCGTCTGGGAATCGCTGCGTTCAGATTGGGTTCTGCTTCTGGGCTGCTCGTGCTGCTTCTGGCCAGTTGGCAGCTCGAAGTACTCCGTAGACTGGCGCTCGCCATCACTGTTCGATGTGAGTGTGACTTCCACCAGACGCTGCTTCTCCTCGCGCACCTTAGTGATCAGGTCTGTCAGCTCGGCAATACGCGCGGTGCAATTCTCTGTTAACTCTTCGAAACGGTCCATTTGACGGGTCGATGAGGATGCACTGGTCGACTTTGTTTTCGATTTTTGCGTCACAGTGAATGTTTTGCCGTCAGAGGTCTGTTGCCCTACTCTGGTCACCATTTCTTGCTGGACTCGGGTCTCAGTTCTTTGCCTTCTGTCTTTGTCCACCTGGGGAGGCTGGGCTTTACGATTATCCTGGGGTATCACTCTTTTATTAACTTCTTGAAGCCTTTTACTTGCATCTGGCCTTTCTCTTTCCTTGAGTTTTCTGTTGGCTTCATCCTGGTTGGTCGCTAAACGCTTCTTCCAGATCTTATCAAAGTTCTGTATGCTTTTCTCTATGTCGTGGGCCTGCTGCTCCCTTTGTAATTGCTGCTGGCATCGTATGGAATCCTCAAGGTCGTTGACAAAGCTACGATTCTCGGCAATGAAGTTCTCGACCCGCTCCATGCGCTCAGCATTTACGATATCCGCATATTCCTTGTCCGGATCCGGGCATACATTACTTGATGTGTTGATGATCGATGGAGATGGTGTGGTTAGATCAGAGTTGCTCACAGCTACTTCGGCCATGTTCTCGGTTGTCATCGTTAGCAGACGATCGATGTAGTGAGCAATCAAGGGATGTAAAGGCGCCACTGCAGAACGTTCCCCTTCGGAGCCCCTGTTGGGATTGAAGCTTTTGTAGCTCACAGGCGGCAGACTGCGATAGGCGGTGGAGTTCGAATCAAACGAGTTCTGACGCTGATCCTGTGGCGCAATCTGCCTTCCGGTCGCGACCTGTGTTGTTCTCTCAGGTTGCTCTCTGGGTGTGTTGTCTGAGGTGCCCGTTGGAACTACCTTGCCGTTTACCATAGTTTCCACTTTGGCTTTAGGTTTTGATTTACCGCGCGGCACATATTGCTTCACGGTGCCGTCACTTTGCACTTTGATGATTATCTCCAGTGGCTTGTCCGACTTGGAGGCTGCTTTACCATTACCATCATCACTGGATTTCTTGTTCTGAACATCTTTGTAGAAATCTTTTAAGCGCTGATCAAGAATGGCTTCCTTTTGCTGCAAATCCGATTCCCGTTCGTTAAGCGACCTCGTTCTTTCCGCCAGAATATCCGCTCGCTCTTGACGTATGTTGTCAATCAACTTCTGGGCATTGTCACCCTTCGATTCGGCGTCCTCGCCCGCCTTCAGCTCATCCAGCAGGTGTTCGCGTATAGTTTCAATTCGATCCAGCAGACCCCGCAGTCTCATCGACTTTACGGAGTTGCTCTTTTGGGCCTTAATGTCGGACCTCAGCTGCTTGCTCTGATCGTCGGCATAATCGAGAAGGATGGAGCAGCAGCTCTCGGTGCTGTCCACGTAGTTTCGATTACCTCTAACTGGATATTCGCCTAAGTTAACCGCTTCCGAAACACTAACCTTTTTTCGCGCCGATGTAGTTGGGCCTGATTTGGTGCTGACTTCGGGACAGGTAATAATGGACGGACGCAGCAGCATTTGTTCCATGGCCTCGTTCATTTTCTGCTCTCGCCTGGCCGCCACATCCACATATCGATGACTAGCCGTAAAGTTGGCCTAATAAGTATTTGTTAATATTAGTTGAATGTCTTCTAGTCCCCTTCATAGTTCACTTACATCGCTCGGCAAGAGGTTCGGATCTTGCTGGGTCATGGCATCCAGTTTTTCCGTGAGCTCTGCGCAGTCTCGACGAATTTGCTCGCGCTCCAAGGCCTTCTGACCCCGATCGTGGGTAATTTTTCTATATCGGTGCGAAAAACAAGGGAAAATTAAAGAAATACAATCGATGGGATAAGAGCAATATTATATGCCAATACCATCGCTGTTTTCTAGGGTATATAAACTCTTTGAATCGAACAACTTACCTGAGTTTATCCAGCTCCTGCTCTCGTAGTTCTCTTAGTTGATCCTCGATGCGGGCATGATCCATTGCGTTCAGCTGAGTGGGATCTTTCTCATTGCATTGCACAGACTGCGTTGGCGCCTCGTAGGTTCGATGGTATTTGTTGCTGTGATCATAGAACTGAACCCGTCCTCCCGACTGTACAGTCTTTGTTCCTTGCTGCACTGTAGTAGTGCTTGTGGAAACCGTGGACTGGGTGGTGATGCTCGGGGGTGCTGTCGTAGCGGGCACATGCACTGGCTGCTGGCCGTACATTGGATGAGGTGGCATGGGAAAGGGCATCGAGTATGGCACCGCGTAAGGTTGCATTGCTTGCGGATAAATATGAATATATGGCTGAGCTTGTGGCAGAGGATATGCCTGTGGCATCGGGGGGTTCGGCATGACAGGCATTTGTTGTGGTAAATTTGCTTGTTGGGGAATAGGTCGCAGGTTTCCAATTGGTTGCTGCGCTGGAACCGGCCTGGTCGGAGGCGCTGGATCCTTTATGGCGGTAGCCACTTTTGTAAGTGTGGCCTGTGTCTTTCCTTTTTGATTCCTCAAGATGCCCGGATCAATAACCTTGGCGGGAGGTGGATTCGTTTTTAAGCCACCTCGCTTGACTGGTTGTTGTTGTGCTTGGCGTGTTGCTAAGCTAGATTTCTTGGGAGATCCTGCCGATTTGGTGGTCTTAGTAGATACTGCCTCCACTTGAATTATGGTTTTAGTAGGCGACCGTGGCAGTGATTTGGTGGGACTCGGTGGCACAGTTTCAGCCACCTCAGGTTCTGTCGGACGACTTGGTTCGGATCTAATACTTGTCATGGTCTCAGTGCGTCTGACCAAATCGGTGATCTGGGTGAACCTCGGCCGGCGCTGGCTCTCTGTCCTCTCTGGACTGACTTCCTTGTTGGGTCTCACCACATGGCTGAATTTGCGGTTGGTTTGCATGAACCGATCGTTGATCTCCAAGCCCTGATCATCGTTCACGGTTTCGGAAAGCGAATCATCCATGTCCACATCAAGTATTACCGGCGGAGTCTTCTGTAGCCGACTATTGCTTGTGGGACTTGTGCTTGTCAATATAGAGTCGTCCTCGGTTGATTCATCCTCATCGGTGAAGGCATCGCAACACCTATTGCGCTTGCTCTCATTGTTCCAACCGGGTTTTTCGGAACCACCGCGAAGACGATTCTCGTTGTTCTCGACCGGTATAGTCGGGGTTTGTGTGCCCGCCGTGGCTCGTCCCTCCGGATTAAGGTTCATTTCGGTCGTTGGCAGCAGCTTAACATTGTTGGCTTTGAGCTTTAACGACCTCGCCGCCTGCTTGCGGCAGTTATTAATTTTTTCTTTTTTCTCCAGGCGCTGCTGTTCGATACGCTCATTCTCTTCCCTCGCTGCGCGGTGGGCGCCGCCCACTTGGAAAATGGCCGAGCGGTAGTCCTGGTGCTTTTTGGCCAAAACATGCTCACGCCAGGCGTCAACCTCCTTCTGTTTCGTTCGTTCCAGGATTTCAAGCTGTCGCTTCTTCTCGGCGGAGACTTTCTCGCGTATTGTCTTGGTCATATTGTTGGAGGCCACACGCACCTAGTCGGAAAATGGGTCACAGGGCTGCTGCGTAATTAATTCCGAACTCTGTCTTACCTGCTGCAAACGGGTTATGCGACGCTGACGCTCCAGATCTTTGCGCACCCGTTCCGGGTCGTCCAGCCTGCTGATGGGCTTCCGGCCGAACTTTCCGTTCACCTGGAACTGCAGAGCCATTTGCTCTTAATTTACTAACAATTATTACGGCAGCATGGGCATACACGAAACAAAAACAACTTTTGACTGGAAAATCAAGCAACTTCAAAAATTCCTCCAAAAACAAAGCGTGTTTAGTGTGACCAGAGCTACAATCAGAAAAATATACCTTTTTCAAAATATACCATTTTAAATACCAACTTTATCGATCAATATTAATGATTATCGAGAACAGCTGATGTTCGTTGTTTGGATTACGAGATTGTAAATAGAAATTTTGAAATTATATTTATTGGCTGTGAAATCGTTTGTTAATGGCTTTCCTACTGAGACAAGTGGCCAGGACGGGCCTGCAGAGGTAGTAGATCCTGAGAAATCTATGCATCAACCCATTATATCTTTGATTTTCCAAGAAATCTCCTAGCGATGCGGTATGTCTCCGCTTCTGCATCCGCAAATCCCGAGCTCAGTGTTCAGGTGAGCGAGAGCTGCCTGAAGCGACTTCGTGAGATCTGCGTGGATGGATCTTTTCTACGGGTGACCGTCGAAGGCGGCGGCTGCTCTGGGTTCCAGTACAAATTCGATTTGGACTCAAAACTCAACGATGATGATCGGGAGTTCGGCGAGGATAAGGCCAAGGTAGTGATAGACACCGTATCGCTGGAGTACTGCAGCGGAGCCACCGTCGACTACCACACTGAACTAATCCGTGCCGGATTCCGCATGGTAGCCAATCCGCTGGCGGAGCAGGGCTGCTCCTGCGGCTCCTCTTTCTCGATCAAGTTGTAAAGATAAGCACCTGTTATTCAACGTTTAAACTTTAGAGAATTATTTAATACACATATAATGTTCAGTTATATACACGTCGAGGGCGGACAACAAGAAAACAGGCGGGGGCGGGCGTTCCCGGTTAGTTATTTTACAATAATATACAGTAAAGCAGCAGGGCGGGACTCGCTCCCCACTCCGCGCTCATTTGCAGGCTGCCAGTTGGTCGCTCAGGCTGATAACCTGCTCCGTGAGCACGCTGATCTGCTCCTCGTAGTTAATACGGGTCGTGGTCTGGGAGAAAATAAGGTGTTACTATCCAAGTATACAAGATAGATATTTCGCAAACCCACCAACTCCTCTTCGAGCATTTGCAGGGCTCCGCCCAGGCTGGCCAGCTGTTCGTCCTTGGCCTTCAGTTCGTGCGTGGCATTCTCCAGGCAGTTCTGCAAGTGCTGTCCCTCCAACTCATAGGAGCGCAGTTTCGACTCCGCCTGCACCTTGAGCCGCAGCAGATCCTCAAACTTCTTGCTGAACACACTATAGATGAGCTGTTCCTTCGAGGGCGGCTCGGGGGGCTCCTGTAGGGAGTCACGCGCACGGTGGCTGCCCTTGGTTTCGAGCTCCACCGGCCGCACAGTTACGCCCGCCGCCGCCGTGCTGCAGCTGCACACGCTGAGATCCTGGCTAGGGTTCGAGACAAATGCCTGATGCAGCTTGGCCACCTCGAACTGGGCCCGCCAGTGAGCTGCCTCCTTTTCGAGTATAGCAATCCGATCATCCGAGGTAAGTTGTGCACTGTTCGGCTGCTGCTGGAGATTATGGAGTGGAGTATTATCGCTTCCTGTGGCGCTAAGGGCGTCCTCGCTGCCAAGCTGGAAGAAAACACCGCTAGTTAAATATAATGTAAATTATAAATCCTATCATTTGAGCCTTACCATGCTGGTTGCATCCACCAGCTTGCTTTCAAGCTCGCTATTCCGGTGCTGCAGCGTTTCAACCTCCTTTCGCAGCCGCTTCTCGAGTTCGTTCTGGTCGCTTATCCGCTTTTCTAGCTTCTGTTCAAGTGCCGCAATTCGTTCCGTGTGCAGCACAAGGTCTCGCTGCTTGTCGTCAATCTGTGAGCGGTGAAGATTTAGCTCATCTTTCTTAATTATGCTGTTCAACTCTGTGGCTTACCAATGACGTCAGTTGGGCATTCTCCATGATTTTCTTCTGCAGCTCTTCGAAGATGAGCGCCTCTTGTGCGGCATTTGCCTCGCTAGCTGCATCTGCGTGGGCATCGCCGAGAGCTTCGGGGTGCCGGGAGCCGCTACCCAGCAATCCCCGCCTACCGCCCGCATCCTTTTTCTGGCGCTGCTCGTTGATTGAGATTTCTTGTTGCAGCTGCGACACGCGCGACTCTAGCTGCTTGTTGCGGAAGCCCAGGGAGTCCACTTCCTGCTCCATGCGGCGCAGTGATGTGGCATACTGCTGCACCTGCTCCCGGAGGCCGCCCTCCCTCGTCTGCTCCTTTGCGTGCTCCTCCACCGCCCTCTTCAGCACCGTTGCCTTGGCACGCAGCTAATCAAAGCGGTTCAAAAGGAGATTAATTAGATTAATGGGCGTTAACTGTTGCTGCTTCGAGGGAACTTCATACCTTTGAGTATTCTGTGGCCAGCTTCTGATACTTGACCTCCGGCACGGTGGCCTCCATGACGACTGGTTTCTCTGCCATCCAGGCAGGCTGTCGGCCGTCGTCCGTTTTAGGCGCTGGTGTACTCTTTACGGTTTACTGCCCAATTGTTTTAAACAAAAAAGAGCATAAAAATATTTTTGCGTTGACCTACAGTGTGACCAACCATCCAGCCAAAAACTGTGAAGACATGCAAAGTAGCGATAGAAATGTTATCGAACATCTATCGAATTTGAATTTCGAATAGCTAATGTGCTGAAAATATTATTCTTTTAAAAGACTAAAAAAATAAGCAAGTTATTATTAGATATTAAATCGTACATTGTTGGTTTAGAAAATGAACTATCTTTCATATAGATGGTTTATTACATATTTATTTCGGTTTATATTTAACAACTTCCTAACCTTTGACGTTTTATTTATACAAAAAAACTTGTTTACAATATAAGGCGTAACTTGTGCTAATTTCGTAGAACAATAATTAAAGCGGAGTTTTTGAGGTGAAAAGTTTAAACATGAACAGCAAGTAAACACGTCGTAAATACTTGCTTATGAAAGTAATATTTAAACTCTATATGGTGTAAAAATTATTTTTTAAAATCCTTTATTAACTAAGTAGTAACATAAATTAGGTATAACCTAATAGGTAAGTGAAAGTTGATAGCACTTAACTTAAGAATATATTGTCGAAGGGCACTTTCTCAAAGAGTTTGTTCGACAGTTCCCGGAAAATGATACCGAAGCTCTTGGAGTAGCCGACCTTCAGTTCGTTGAACACCGTTTCCCAGTTTTCGTTGAGGAAACGATTCATGCCATCGGAAAGGGTTTTGTCGTTGAACAGATTCTCGAAATTCATGTACACCCGCTTGGGATCGAACACCACCCGATACTCCTTCAGACGCATGTACTTGACGCCATCCTGCTCGAAGGGCTCGCCGATCAGACGATGCTCGATCTTGGTGTTAATGAGGGTCACGTTAGCCCTTCCATGTCCCGTGATGGGCAGCAGCAGGATGCGGCCAGACATCTCGTAGTCACCGATCATCTCAATCCGGTCCGTTCGGCTATCACAGATAATCAAGTGCTTGTCCAGATCGGTTCTGTAAATTAAATCGAATGCCGGAAGAGAAATTTTGTATCATTCCCTTGGTTTTCTTCTTGCTGCTTCGATTTACAGCTTTTTAGCCTTGGAAATATTACCTGTACCGCTGGATCTTGCTGGTGGAGATCATGCCGTGAACCTTCACATTCTTCAAGGTCTGCCGCAGATTTATTGGCGCATTGCCGGCGTCTATAACGAGTTTCTTCACGGACAGCGGCTCTAGGGGCGGGATGCCGAACTCCTTGTTGCCTGCCAATTGGATCGGGAAGCGTTATCCAACCCATTGTGCTGGGGAGTAAGGAATACTTACCGGCTTTCAGCAGCTGAATCGCATGATTCACAGCATCCACCAGGCATTTGTCGAAGTTCGCATCCCGCTTGCACTTGGGAAAGCCTTCGGCTGCAAAAATTCAAAAGACAGACAGAGATCGGTTAAGTCGGTTCGGTTTGGTCATGACATTGAGATGTTGGCCATCTCGCGGATTGCGGAAGTTCCCGGGCTAGCCTGCAATTGGGCCAGTCAGCAGCATCCATCGGTTCGCGTTCGGCCAGAGTTCGTTGGCCACAAAACTTGTTTGTAAACAAAACAAAAGAGTCCACGAATAAATTAGTTAAAGGCATGGCAGCATATATATGGACAAAAAAAACAGAAGTGAGCTAGCATATTTTAGTGGCTCAATGTCAAGTTGAAGCGCACGCTGCGAGGGGCCATTTATCATGAATACATTGAGAAGACAAAGGCACTCATGACCTATGCCAACGGTTTCATTAATCAGCCCAGCTCAGCACTCATACACTTGGAAAAAATCCACGCCTGTCGAGGAATGTGTGAATCAATTAACACAAATCATCTGTCCGGTTACATATGTCCTTCTCTCTGTCGAGCCAACATATTGGTGTCACAAGCGGAAGCTTAGCGTGGATGTGGATCAGTGGTGGCCTGACTGTCTGTCTGCCAAACTGGCCTGTTCCAAGAGCAACCTGTTTGCAGACGATGGTTACAATTGCATAACACCTGTGTACAGTGGCTATCGGTTGGGGAAACTCTTAAAAATGCAGCCCCCAACGGCAGTGATCTTAATTTATAGTTGCTATTTAGCAGTACGCGAATGAGCAGTTTTAAGTTTGTGTTTTGTTGACAGTCTTTTTTATAGAAAAGAAAAAATCCCCCTTAATAAACACATTTATAATTGCCAAGTCATAACAATTAGGGAATTGTTGAACAACTTCTTAGAAAATATATTATTTCTTTGCCGCCTCATTATTTCTATTTCTTGATTGCTTAATGTTCTTAGTTTAGATAAGCATTTGAGGAATTCGTTTTATTTTATTTAATTCTTTGTTAAGTTTGTCTGTAAAACTTGTAAACCTTTAAACTATGAAAAGGTACTAAAGTAAAGGTGCTTCAAAGAAAACAAACAAACAATTAGCAACGGCTTTAAACACTATCATTATTCCTAATAGCTCTGTTTGTGTCGAAACAAAAATTTAAAAAATTGTAAACAAAATTTCCCGAACCCAGGTTCGATATGGTACTCATCCTAAAGCCGGCGTGACTCTCCGCCGGTGTCTACTGTAGTTGCTGTAATGTCACAGCAATTTGCATGCCCGTCTGCGCGATATTAGAGAATTTTACAGAGACCGACCTTGAGGTCTTCGGGCCAAGACCCCACAGGCCCAAGTCGAAATTAACCATCCATAAACAATATCGATCACGTTTTAACCATCAATGTGAGGTGCCAGGTTAAGCAAATACATATAGCCGAGACGTACAGTCAAAGCAAATAAAAATGATCTTTTTTTTTGCACTTAGTGTTTGAAGTTTTTGCTCAGTTTTTAATGATTTTATTCCCCCTATTTTTTCGGTTTAGTACTTACGCAAATCTTGCGCAGTCGTTACAGTTAGTTCCTGCGCAACCGCAGCGATTAGCAGCAATAGCAACGTGTATTTTGACATATCTCCGATCGAAGGGGGATGTACGAAATCGGAAATCGGAAATCAGAAATCAGAAATTGGGAAACTCTTCGATAGACACTCTTCAGTGGGACACAGGGAGCGCGCGCGCGATCTCCGTCCGGATACGAATCGATGGGCGGTAGCGGTGGTATCTGGGAGACAGGTGATTCTGGCCGGCGACTTATCACTGTGTACACGGGATGCGTTCGCCGCTCGCTGTTTTATACCGAGCTTGAGCAGCGGCGCCGGCGCAGAAGCCAGCGTTCAACGTCCGACTTCGAAAAGCTCCCGCAAAATCGAAATCAATGGGTCGCTCAAGCTTTGGCCCATAAAGCAGACCAGCAAGCAAGCAAACGAACCACTTTTGCTTTCCGGCTCGCCGCTTTTGGCCATGCCAACCATGCCAACCATGCCAACACCGCTGACCGAGGAACCCATCAACCCTGCCTGCCCTTTCATTTTCCTTTTCGCCGTGGTTCATTGAACCCTACATGCCCCTGTAATTGAGGGTCTTTCTCCCATGCCACTTATCCCCGGTAGTACTAATATCGGTTTAAATGATACGCATTCCATTAAATTTCAGGCATCGCTGGCTTGAAGGAAGTCCAGTCGAGTCACCCAATTCATGCTCTTAATGCCGCCAAGTGTAGATTCTATATGTGCACAGGAACTAGTTTTTATTGGGTCAATATTTGGCAACATTTGTGTGCTGAAATCAACAGTTGAATTCTTGAAAAATGTGGAAATGGATTGTGGATTCGGTAAATTGGGAAATATAGTGGATACTGGCATATTAAATGATTGGTTTAAGGCTGATTTTTACAGAACGATAAAGCATACATCAATTTATTTGTTGAGTTAACCTAATAAAGAATTAATTATAATGAGAATTAAATAATATATAATAATAAGTATGTGATTGGTAAACTATGTAGTTCATGTCCATATTTAATGTGTTTCTAATAATTTGAGGACAAGCATTTATTTAATTAGGTTTCAATAATTATAAACCTGGTGCCTACAAAGGCTATTTACTTCTACTATAATTATCTAAATATGTATAAAACCTCTGGCCTTAGTTTCTTATACAAATCATTAGATCGTTCTCTTGCCTTAAATCTTTTACAACACTATTAATGGAGTTCATTTCGGTGATTCTCCTCCACTTCACTGCGTGGCAGCGCATTCAAGTTTGTTGTCTAAGTCATTCGTTTGGCCAGCACATTCTTTTGTCTAACTAGACACCGATATATGGACGGCAAGTGCGTGAGTGTGAGTGCTTGGCCAAAATAAACAGCCCAAGGACCTCGGCATGTGTCTATGGAAACTGTTGCAATTGTTGTTCAAATATAAACAAACGATATGTGAGCCGGCTAACGGTATACATATGCATTTAGATGTTCGGTGCTTGGTTCGGTGATTGGTGATAAAGTACCAAGTGTGGAAACCGGTTGTCGTCAGTTGCCTCTTAACATTCTACGGGCACGCAATCCGGCAATCCGTGGAGAATTATTGTAAATATATATAGAAAAAGGTTAATATAATGCACCGATGCTATTGCGGCAGTACGGGATTACGAGATGTGACACGACAGCAGCAGCAGCTACATGTCCGTCCGCAGCATCCACGTGGCGATTTGATGTCGGTGACCTCATCCTCCCGTCAAAGTCAGCGAGCCACGCAGTTTGTAAAGAGACCCAGCCTCAAGACAGCGCCCAGACTTGGTTTGGGGCACTCCAGCACCGAGCTGGGCAACGACTTTAGTCGCCGGAACTCGGCTGCCACCACGGTGAGTCACTGCTCCAGCTGCAGCTGCAGCAGCTCCACCCAGCAACGACAGCAGAGCAGGGCCAAGGTGCTGCGTTGGGGTTGGGAGCGAACAGGAGGTGTCGACACCAACACCAACACCAGGGGTCGCATAACTACAGCCAACAACTACGCCTTGTTTACGGACAATCGACGGCTTTATGAGCAGAGCGCATGCGTCGCCAGTCGCCAGATGAGCCAAGGTCAGGGTCAGGTTCACAGTGGCAACTCATCGCCTTCGCCACGCCTAGTTCAGTATCCAACCAAACAATCGACGGATGAACTGCAGCAGTTGCAGGCTCTGCAGCAATTTCGCCTCATGAACATGAATGATTGCTTCAGCGATAGCCGACAGAATGAGCTCCGACTGCAGCAGGCCTATGATCAATTGAATGCCACCAACATGGATAAGTGGAACAAGAATAGAGCCAATGAGAGCAGGCAGCAGGAAGGAAGCTCTAGCTCCAGCTCCAACACGACCACACCCTATGCCCTGCGGCAGAAGTTGCTGCAACTAAGGCTGCAGGCGGAGGAGAAGTGCGGACGAGGCACTGGCGCCATGTGTGCTCCCTTGGAGAAGAGTTGTGCCTTGCGATATAATTAGTTTAAGATGCTATAAGAATATTTGATAATACTAGCAATAAGCTTGGACATTGTATTAATAAATAAATCATATATTATGTTTATAAGAAATATGTTCAAGATATGACTTATGAACTTTATTACAAGCCGTAGTTCATCCAATAGTACCTATATTTTTAATTATTTGTTTTTTATGACTTCCATAGTATAATTCTAACTATGGTCTCAAAAAGAAATAGGGTTTCATTAGGTACAGACGTAAAAATTGACAAATTTGAAATGGTGATAAAAAATTTTAACACTTGGTGGGGTCACAACTGTCTCCCTTAGCTTTTTACTACAATTTTCGTTCGCTACATAGCAGACTGAAAAATAAATAAATAAATAAGGAAAGAATCAATCAAATAAAGTTATTAAAAGTATAATCATAAGCTATATGTAACCCAATCACTTACCAACAAGTTGGGGCTCTATAAGTCATGACATTCAAGTAAATCCACAACTCGAAATTCATTTTATTGCTAGTATGTATTTCAATTTTTTCTTTTAATAAAACAGTGCTATTTTGTTACAAGTGCTTCGTCATTGTGTTTCGGTTTGTTTAATTTTTTTTATATATACTTTTTTAATTGCCTTTGTTTTGTTTTTTTTTTTTTTGGTTTTTATTTATTTTATGTTTTTGCAACTTGCGCTTTGAATGCTTTTACTTATTATTCCTCTTTGTCTTTTCAAATTTCCATCTTGAAATGAATTAAATGTTATATGTATTTTTGTTTAATTCTTTTTTTTTGTGTTTTTGTATTTTACGATATTACGCTTTAGATTTATGTCTTGTGTTTGGGGTTTGAAAACAGCCGATGTCGTACTGGATCGCGATATTACAAGTACATACATATATAGTCGTAAATATACGTTGAATTCATTACAACATTGAACAGAGTACTAGAGTGTGTGTGAAATAGACGAGGACTCGCATTGGGCTCATATTTCATATTCGTTTTTTTGCATTTAGCATTTTGCTTTTGCCTTTGTTTTGTTACGTTTTTTTTTTTTTTTTTTTTTTTGGTTTTTATATAGGTTACGCGATTGTTGTTAGTAGGTTGTCGGGCGGGAATTATACAAACGAAACCATTTTGGGTAAGTTGCGTCAGGCTGCAGTGCCTGCCGCGGATCGCTGCCTGTCTGGGCATAATACTTGTAATTGAGTGTGGCGGCCTTTAGCACTAGAATGTAGCGAAATACACAAACTATATACGTTTACGTGTACAATAACCGTGTCTGTTTGTGTTTGCTGCTGCGCTTGTTTATAGTTTATTACTTGAATATTTCTGTTTCGATTTTGTTGTGTAAATTTTGCATGTATTTAATGGGTCTGATTTCCTCTCGAGGGCGGGGGAGCAATAAGGGGGGATAGGTAACATTATCTGCCTCGTCGTTGACATCAACAGAGGGCACACAGTGCCGCTCAAATGTATTCGCATTCGCCTTTATTTTTTTTTAGCTTTTCCCATCGTATGGCAGGTTTAAATATTTTTTTTTTTAGGTTACAACATAAGGTATACAAAATATTGTAGATGACTTTGCAGCCTTTAACATCAAACTTGAAGAAGTACTTGATTAAATTAAATAAATTGATTTAAAACCAGAAAAAAAACCTAATATATATGCATTACAATTTAATTTTCGTTGCTAGAAAACACAAAATAAAGCTCATAAAGATCCAAAACCTATATATTTACATATTTTCAGCAGATATGTAACATTGCCATACGAAAGGTTAACAAAAAGCGTTTAAATTTATAATCTTTGTAAATTGTTTATGGACTTTCCTTAACTTGGATTTGTGTGCGTGTTTTGTATGTGATCATGGTGTGTGTGTAACGCAGTTTTAAAAAATATGTATGTATTATATTATTTATGTTTATTTTAATATTTTTGGTGTAAACAATTCAAACTTATGTAGCTTGCAACTAAAATTGCTTCATCTTCGTTTTAAAACTAAGTAAACATGTATCGTCGATGTAAAATTTCTAAGACAATATTACAAAAATAAATCGTGCCTCGAGTACATATGTAATATGCAGTGTTAACTCAACTCACACCTTTAAAAGCATTTCGCATACAGCTTAATAAACATAAAAGTTAACATTTTCACCATTTGCTAGTGTTTTATTTCTTTTTCTTTTAGATACGCAACAAAAAGGAGGAAGGAGGAAAGAGAAAAGATTGTTTAAAGTGCCGCCAGAATAATTGCTTAAATAAAATGCTGTGCGATAGATAGAAATGCAAATTAAAAAAATACAACCGGTGCGTGCACTTTTCGTACCTATTGTACGGGGTGATATATGCATTATGTGTGTGTGTGAGTGTGTTCATGTGTGTTGGCTTTGCGCAAGGAAAAACTATAACAAAATTAATATATTAGGAGATAAAATATTCTTGCTTATGCAGTGTCTTACACTACAATTAGTTTGAACTAAAGTGTCTCGATTTGTGTTTTGTTTTGTTGATTCATTTCATATTATTTCGATTTGTTTTTGTTTTTGCTTTCGTTATCATTTTTGTTTTTTTAAATAAAAAATAGGCTAATTTGTATAGATTCAAATACCCCTTATAACGTTGCTCACGATTCGATTACACGTATTCGATAAAAACAAACTTTTTGCGCATTCCGTTGGATGTGGACTCGGACTCGGATTCGGATACGGATACGGATTTTCCTTGCCACTCTCCCTATTTGTGTGTGTGTGGCCTGTCGTTCCTTGTATTGTGCAGTGTTCGAGGTGTGCAGCGTTTATTTTTTCTTGTTTTTATTGTTGGCACCGCGTGGCGGTGTCACGGGGCGTCCTGAGCTCCCAAAGTTGGGATAAACAAATCGTCGCTTGTCGGCGGGTTTTAATATCTGAAAGGAGCACATCAGTGTGTCGTCCACGGACATCATGGCACCTGCGAAGGTAATCGATAATGATTAATCATTGCTGACATTTATGTCAATTCCCGCTATTGATTATTTTAAAGTGCGCATTTTCTTGGCAAGTGGAAATAAATAAAAATGCCAATGGAATCAAGTTGCTAGCTTTCACTTGCTGCGGCCTATCACCGAGATCAACGTTGAGCTTGGTGTTTATAATTTTTTTATACACGGACGTAAAGGGTGCTTACGTCGAGATAATGTTTATCTCCGACTGAAGTCCACCGTCGATGATCACTCACCCGCATTGTCAAATTCCCCGCAATAGTTAGGCGCCGAGAAGAGCGTCACCAGCTGACGCTTGGCAAAGAATTCATAGCCATCCTCCACAACCTGATGGGCCCGACAGATCAGGTCAAATTCGTGCTTCTGTAAAAATTTACCCACAACCTGAAAACCACAAATATTATCATCATTTTGTTGTATTTTGTAAATATTACGTACGACTTACCTCCGCTCCGAATGTGAAGCTTACGCCGCGATCATTCTCGCCCCAGCCCATGGTGTCCTTGTCGGGATCAGACCACAGCAGGTCGCACAGCAGACCCTGATCGGGCACGTCTGTGGGGCGCATGATGCGCCGGATCTGCTCCATGGACGAGAGATCTGGACTCAGGCCGCCGTGGCAGCAAAAGATCTTCTCGTCCACGATGGCCGCCACGGGCAGGCAGTTGAAGCAGTCCGTGAACGTTTTCCACAGCTTGATGCTGTAGCGACGTTTGCATTCGTCATAGAACCTGTCAATTGGTTTCAATTAGATGAGTAATGTTATGGATATACACTATAAAATGTAATACGATGCGAATTACAAAATTAATAATAACGATTTATGTTATAGTGACATTATTCAGACCACTTTCTATTTACATAAAGCTTGAAAATAACTACAAAAAACTCACCCGTATATGCGGTTGATGCTGGCGCACTCGTGGTTGCCGCGCAGCAAAAAGAAGTTCTCCGAGTACTTGATCTTGTAGGCCAGCAGCAGACATATCGTCTCTAAAGACTGCTTGCCGCGATCGACGTAGTCGCCCAGAAACAGGTAGTTCGACTCTGGCGGAAAGCCGCCGTACTCGAACAGGCGCAGTAGGTCGTAGTATTGTCCATGGATGTCGCCGCATATTTTCAGCGGGGCCTCCAGCTCGAGCAGGATCGGCTGCGACAGAAATATCTCGCGGGACTTGAGGCACAGGCTGCGAATCTCGCTCTCCGACAGTTGAACATTCTTGCCCGGACGTGCTCCGCGCACTGTAAAGATGCAAAACGTTGATATGAGTGGGAGTGGGTGAGCACGAGAGGGAAGAAGGAGGAGCAGCAGTACATACCTTCCAGCAGACGCGAGATAATGCTGTCAATGTTCATGATATCCGACATGTTCCTGGCCCGGTGGTACCTCCGCTCGCTCCGCTCAACAAATTTCGCTTATCCGCTGCCGCTGCTGTTTTCCGCTACTGTTATTTCCGCCGTTATTTCTTATGTATTTTCGGTATACGTTCGTTATGTATGTTATTTCATCGACGGGGACGGGCGCCTGTGTGTGTGGGTGCGTGTGTGTGTTGTTGGAAATCGCTGGGTCTTCCGTCTCGGGTTCGCCGTCTTCCGCCTGCCTGCTGCCTGGATTCACTGCCTCGGATGCGAACCCATGTACGGTTGGCTGCCTTCAATCTATTTCCTCCGCTCCAGCTGCCTTTTATTGCATTTATTGCACGTTATTTTCGCGACGTACTACAAAATTTTCTCCTACGTTGTGTTAGTGACGTCGATTGTTTACAATTGCGAGACGATAGTTTATCGAGTGCACCCATCGCTGGCAGCCGTTAGTGTGACCGAAGCGAGCGCGTGGTTTCTTATTGGAAAACGTTTGAATAATAAATATTATTAATTATAATATATTATATATTATATATTCCCATTCTGTAACGCTTTAATTGTTTAATTTTATTTTAAATGTGTTATTAAAGAAAAACCATATAGTTCAGTCTTAAATGTCCAAAATGTATTTCATAATTGTAATAAAAAGTTAAGAATAAAAATAAATGTAAATGGTTGAATAGTCAATGATTAAAGATTTTAGTTATTTATAAATAAATAATTTAAAAATATATTTAAGCATATATAATAATATATTTTAGCAATAAGTCCTGCAATATACGAAATATAAATTTCGATTGACTATACTAAGAGCCTATTTAAAACTGAATTTAAATGTTAGAAATATATATTTTTTATTATTGTAAATATCAATCCCCAAAATTATAATAATTTAACCTATATTATAAAAATGTAATCTCCTTTATTTTAAATTATCATCGCTGTCATTAAAGTTCTTCCCGCTGTTCAGTGTATTAAACATGACGCGCTTTCTGGGCAGAGGAACTGGCCGAGAGTTTATAGCAGACTTAGTTGCTCCTCCTCGGACTGTGGCCGCCGGCTTGACCAAAATTTCCTCCAGCCGGGCCTTGAAGTCCCGACTAACCTGAGGCTGAGGACTAGAACTACGTGATTGGGACTCTTCGCTGCCTTGGGACAGTTCATCCTCCTGATCTTCGCTTTGGGTGGAAGCTGCATCCTCCTCCGACCTCTCCAATGGGGTCGATTGTGGGATCCTTTTCTTGGGTACCTCGATGGGTTTCAGCGGGGTCTTGTGCTTGAGAAGCACCTGGGCACGTTCGGGGAACTTGGCGGAGCAAAGTTTACCCACGAATTTTCGAATGCGATTCCGGGTGGCATAGAAATGAGGATATTTCTAGGAAATATTTTAATTTACAATACGTTTTCTCTAAAAGAAAAACTCTATTAATTATTCTTACCAATTTCAGCTTGTTGCGATGCTCGGCTACCTCAGAATTGACTCGCTTCAGTGAGGTGTGGGAAATCCCCTTAGACTTCATATCAAAGCCGTGCGGCATCAATTTCCGGTTGACCAGTTTCCGGGCATCCTTTCGGGTAAGAGGTTTTAGCGGCGTTCTGCGAGTTATAAAGAATTAAATATTAATTTATTTAATTCATTAATGAATCAATGAATGAACTCACTTAATTGCCCTTTCAGGAGGCCTGCTAGGTGTAGCTTTGTCGTCTTTTCTGGGTGCCTCTGACTCGGACGTCGACGCTTCGGTGTCCTCTTCCTCCGTCAGACTCTGATCCTCCTCCTGTCCAGCCTCCTCAGGGCTTAGACTGTCGCTTATGTCCGTGGCTTCTTTGGTTTCCAATTTGCTGGAAATCGGCTCGACGGACGGTTTTGTGTAGGTTGGATTACTTCCGGAACTACCTGCACTTGGCTGCTCCTTCTCCACCGCATGAACTTGGACTTGGCTGACAAGCTGGGAGATAGTCTTCTCCCGCGGCGCCTCTTCAATTGAGTAGGTGTCATCGTCTCTTTTCTTCTTGAGGAACTCGCTCTCCACTTGCTTACGGATGCGATCCATATTGGTTTCTTCTTTTCGGGTCACGGGCTTGGGTATTTTTGATGCAGCTGGCAGAGCCTGGACATGATGAGGCTGTTCCTTAGTTTGTGAAATCAACTGTTTGAGCTCACGTTCGAGAGCCTCAAGCTTTTCCCTGTATCCCATTTCCATGTGGTAGACCACCTCTTCCAGCTTGTGAGCACTGACCTTGCCAATCTCCGCCACCTTTTCGGTGAGGATGCGCTCCAAATCCTCCAGACAGGGCGTGGCTACTCGATCTTCTAGTGGCGGTGTGCTAGCTGACGCCTGTTTGCTCTGCTCAAGCGCTCGACTCAATACTTCCAGCCTCTGATTGATGTCCTAAAAGATGTTAAATTGTAAATTACAGGTGAATAAGCTACTGTCAAAGAGTAAAAACCTACCTTGATGAAGTTCTCGTTGCTTTGCTTTAACTGTTGCTGCCACTCCTCGAAATTTTTGAGTCGCTCTGCCAATCCTGTCATCTGCTCCTTTCTCTCTGTGGCTTCGCTGTCGTGCATCTGTTCCCCGCTGCCCTCGTCCTTTTCCTTGGCCTCCGCCAGATTACTCTGAATGCCAATGGAGCGCTGCTCCTGGCGAGGACTCGCCCGCTTCGATCCTGTTCCCCGCTCCCTGATGTTCCGCTCGGCAGCATTCAGACGCTCTTTCAGCTGCTTTATCTCTAGCTCCATTTTGATGGTGTTGATCAGATGCAGATCGGTGTCTTTATCCTTATCTTTCTCCTTGTCTTTTCCCTGACCGGAGGCAAGACTTGGAGGCGAAGCAACGCGATGCTTCCGACCGATGTGGACATTCAGCGCCTCGTTGCTAATAAAGTTCTTGGGACAGAGGTGACAGGGATAGACCACCTCGCGGATGGCCTCGATCTGGGTGATCCGTTTGTGCAGCTGTACCACCTCGTTGTGGGACTCACCGAGGGACTTCCTCAGAGTGGCTATCTCCTGCTGGGCCGTCGTGTGAGCCTCCTTCAAGTCCGTGACACACTCGTCCAGGTAGGTGCGACAACAGAGCAGATACTGAATGGCATACTGTGACATTACAAAATACTTGGCAATGCCGCTGTCAAGGATGTGCGTCTCCAGCACAGTGCCTAGCGGAGCCTCCGAGAGGTGGGTCAGGGCCTTATCAACCAGCTCAAAGTTCTGTTCCCTGAGAATGCGCTCGGTTTCATAAGAACCTGAAGAGGTTACATTGGTTACATTATATTAACTAATAACTGAATGTGATTTTCTTTACCCATTAGCCTCCAGTCCAGGGGACCATCTCGATATTGTCGCAGCTTGAAGCCCGTTCCACGGACCATCTGCGGAAAGTTGCCCTTGAAGCCCATTTCCAAGAAAAAAAATCGAAAGTTGTTTACGACGCCCTCGCTTTCTTTGTTTTGCTTCCGTTCTTTGTCAAAGTTCAGTTTGTACTGCTTTCATTTTTCTTTCTCCTATTTTTCGGTTTATCGTTGTCAAGGTGACAAGGTGACGTTGCCAGGACAACGGATCGGTTTAAAAATACATAATTTGGTTGAGAACTTGGTTAGTAAGGGGCTGTTCTGGGTTTCAGAAAGGGGTTGTTCTCGGTATGGAATTAAAATTCCAGAAAGTATAACATACCCTAGCAGGGTATTATAATTTAATTCACTCATTTCCGAACATATAGACTATATATATTCTTGATCAGCATCAGCCGAGTCGATAAAGCCATGTCTGTTTGTCAGTCGTTAAATGCATGTGTTGCTCTCTCTGTGAATCTCTAGAGGCGCCTCTTTCTAGACTCTCTAGAGGTAACTCTTTCCGTCTTTCCCTCTTGCGCTCTCACTCTCACTTTCTCTGCTCTTCTCTTTAGTCGGGGAGTATAAATAGAGGCACTGCCGGCCCGCCGCCCTCAGTCTCTTCGCGGCCTTCGAGGTGTTTACATCGATAGTGATAGTGGTAATGATAGTGATATCGCCTGACCAATGCCTAACATATGGATAACCAGGAAGAAGCTAACTTGGATGATGCCAACAGAAGCCTAATTGAAGTCACCAAGAATATATCTATGGACTGGGAGGAATTAAGCTATGACTACTGCTGTAAGTCTTAACGATGACAATTATATTATACATGTTATGTAGACGCTATCAAGCTTAGGTCTAGAATCAGCTGTGTCAGCTATTCATTTATTATACATTTTCAATTATTTCTCGTATTGCCATGGACCTCAGTACTTAATTTGAATTTAAAGTGATACAGTATTTGTATTATAGATATCTACAAACGTATATACAAAGTTAATAGCCTAACTTAATTATAAATTATTCACTGATTTTTTATTCGTTGATTAATGATATTGGCGCCAACTTTTGCTACACTACCTTTGCAGGGTAATATATTTTCAGTCAGTTTCCGACCCTATAAATCATATATATTTTTGATCAGCATCAGATGAGTCGATAGAGCCATGTCCGGTTGTCCGTCTGTCGTTAAATGTATCACTTGCTCTCTCTCTGTGATTCTTTAGAGGCGCCTCTTTCTAGTCTCTCTAGAGGTAACTCTTTCCCTCTTTCCCTCTTGCGCTCTCACTCTCACTTTCTCTGCTCTTCTCTTTAGTCGGGGAGTATAAATAGAGGCACTGCCGGCCCGCCGCCCTCAGTCTTTTCGTGGCCTTCGAGGTGTTTACATCGATAGTGATAGTGGTAATGATAGTGACCAATGCCTAACATATGGATAACCAGGAAGAAGCTAACTTGGATGATACCATGAGAAGCCTAATTGGAGTCGCCAAGAATATATCTTTAGACTGGGAGGAATTAAGCTATGACTTAAAAGTATCCTCTACTGCTGTAAGTCTTAACCATGACAATTATATTATATATGTTATGTACATAGATGCTACCAAGCTTAGGTCTAGAATCAGCTGTGTCAGCTATTCATTTATTATACATTTTCAATTATTTCTCGTATTGCCATGGACCTCAGTACTTAATTTGAATTTAAAGTGATACAGTAATTTGTATTATGGATATCTACAAACGTATATACAAAGTTAATAGCCTAACTTAACTATAAATTATTCACTGATTTCTTATTTGTTGATTAATGATATTGGCGCCAACTTTTGCTACACTACCTTTGCAGGGTAATATATTTTCAGTAAGTTTCCGACTCTATAAATCATATAAATTTTTTATCAGCATCAGATGAGTGGATAGAGCCATGTCCGGTTGTCCGTCTGTCGTTAAATGTATCACTAGCTCTCTCTCTCTGTGAATCTCTTGAGGCGCCTCTTTCTAGTCTCTCTAGAGGTAACTCTTTCCCTCTTTCCCTCTTGCGCTCTCACTCTCACTTTCTCTGCTCTTCTCTTTAGTCGGGGAGTATAAATAGAGGCACTGCCGGCCCGCCGCCCTCAGTCTTTTCGCGGCCTTCGAGGTGTTTACATCGATAGTGATAGTAGTAATGATAGTGATATCGCCTGACCAATGCCTAACATATGGATAACCAGGAAGAAGCTTACTTGGATGATACCAATAGAAGCCTACTTGAAGTCAACAAGAATATATCTTTAGACTGGGAGGAATTAAGCTATGACTAAGAAGTATCTTCTACTGCGGTAAGTCTTAACCATGACAATTATATTATATATGTTATGTAGATGCTATCAAGCTTAGGTCTAGAATCAGCTGTGGCAGCTATTCATTTATTAATTTCAATTATTTCTCTCATTGCCATGGACCTCAGTACTTAGTTTGATTAATTAATTTGTATTTAGGATATTTATAAACGTATACCCGAAGATAATAGATTAACTTAATTATAAATTATTCACGAATATTGATTACTGATATTAACGCCAGCTTTTGCTTCGTTATAATACCTTTTGCAGGGTAATACATTTTCAGTCAGAAGCTTGTAAATATGTGAAGGAGTCATTTCCGACCCCATAAATCATATATATTATTGATCAGCATCAACAGGCAAATCTTTCTGGATAGCTAGCTAAATTTTCAAAATTTTATAAGGGGTTACAAATTAAAATTGTTAAAAATTGATACAAATTTGAATTTTCTTAAATTTTAAATTGCGTATGCAGATTTGATAACCTTAAAAAAACTAACATAGGAATGGTTTCCGAATTCAAAATAAAGTGTTTTTAGCTAAGTTATGAGTATTTTAATCACTGATTAGTAAAAAATTGTAATATAAAAATATAAATAAATATCGTATACAAAAAATGTATTATTATTTTAGTCAGAAGCTTAAAACAATGTGAAGGACTCATTTCCGACTCAATAAATTATATATTATATATATATATATATATATTATATATTCTTAATCAGCATCAGCAGGCGAATCTTTCTAGCCCCCTTTAAGAGAAACTACATATTTTCGATTTTTTCAAAATTTTATAAAATGGTCATAAATTTGAAGAAATTTTAAATATTTTAAATTGAAAAACTCAATATGCAGATTTATTAACCCTTTAAAAACTAGCACAGAAAAACCATCCGAATTAAAATTAATGCATTTTTGACTGAGTTTGATATTTGAAAAACTTTGATTTACCCCAAAAAACATACCTAAAATATATCCTATATTTTTTATTAGTAAACATAGTTTAATTTGAATTAGGCGGCGGCAGGTCGATTATTTCAGGATTTGCCATCGAGCATCTCTGCCAGGGCATCTGTCAAAAAGACACAACTCAGTTCCAAGTAAACTCTCCGACCGTGAGGTTCTAGCAAATAACAAACCGCAGTAAAAATGCTTTAAGTTGGAAGGAAAAAATTAATTTTTAGCAAATAAACCTAGTTAATAGCCATCAAAACTGCCACAAAATGTGGCACTGGAGTTTATTGTGTGTTTTTCTACTCGTTCCATTGGCAAACTCCACGGGTAAGCATTGTAGGATTGTCTACCAAGCGAGGAAAAAATTGTTGAAAATTCCTATACCTTGATGCTGTATCTCAAATATCTGACAGATGTCAGGAAGCTGCGCCCTCGAAGAGAGCTAGAGCGGCGCCTGCGCAGAACTTTGTTTTGGGAAATTTACAATTTGTTTGGGAAATTTCTGGGACACATTTCTCACCAAATCTCCCATGTTTTGTGTAGCTCCCATAAGCTTTGAGGCCAATCCGGACACCAAACGTCTTTACGATGATTTGCTGAGCAACTACAATCGCTTGATCCGACCTGTGGTCAACAACACGGAGACCCTGACCGTGTGGCTGGGTCTGAAGCTGTCCCAGCTGATTGAGGTGAATCTCAAGAACCAGGTGATGACCACAAATCTGTGGGTGAAGCAGCGCTGGTTCGACTACAAGTTACGATGGGATCCTGAGGAATACGGTGGCGTCGAACAGCTCTATGTACCCTCTGAGCATATATGGGTTCCGGACATTGTCCTTTACAATAACTGGGATGGCAACTACGAGGTAAGTCTGATTTCAGTCAATTTATAAGTATATTTTAATTATTTTATAATTATATACAGGTAACTCTGATGACCAAAGCCACGCTCAAGTACACCGGAGAAGTCTTTTGGGAACCACCGGCTATTTACAAGTCATCCTGCGAAATGAATGTGGAGTACTTTCCCTACGATGAACAAATTTGCTTTATGAAATTCGGTTCCTGGACCTACAACGGGGCTCAGGTGGATCTTAAACATTTGGATCAGGTATGGAGATTTCTATATATAAAATAAAAAATGTACAAATATTATATTTATTCTTTAGGTACCCGGAAGCAACTTGGTTCAAGTGGGCATCGATCTAACCGAGTTTTATTTGTCTGTGGAATGGGACATACTCGAAGTGCCGGCAACCAAAAATGAAGAGTATTATCCCGACACTCTGGAGCCTTTTTCAGGTGAGTTTGATTAATATTTGATTTGATTTATTATCTAATTATATCTTAATTAACAGATATAACATTTAAATTGACCATGCGACGTAAGACCTTATTCTATACGGTCAACTTGATAGTGCCCTGTGTGGCTTTGACCTTTCTCACGGTGTTGGTGTTTTATTTGCCCAGCGATTCGGGCGAAAAGGTAACGAAATAGGATCTCAGGACCTAATCCTTAATCCTTGTGGCATGGTTTTTATCTTCCTTGCACCTTAAATTCGTAATGCAACCTATTTGTATATATGTTTTGTAGTCCTAGCGTATTTTCCTTTTTCACTATAAAAATAATTTGTAATATATATATTTTGTGTTTAAATAGTAGAGTTTTAGTTCAGTAAATTGTTGCCAAAAAATAGTTTTATTCAAATAATTTTGTTCATCACTAAACTTCTTTTCGTCAACTACCTATACACTGTGAAAAACACAACCTCAACAATATACCTATAAACTTTAGCTAAGCTATTTCTACCTCATATGCACCAAACTCAAACTATCTTCAGTTATTTAACTATCACTCCTTAATCTTTCAAGTCTGCTATCCTAAAGCTGAGCTCTTGCACTCTAGACTCGAAACACGACAA